GCGTACCCTTAGGACAGTCTCTGGAGAAGCCCCTCCCTTGCTGGGCAGCGGCCCTGGCAGGGAATCTGAGACTGTCACTGCCTGGAGTTCAGCTGTGTCGCAGGTGGATCTGGGGCAGGGTTAAGAATCATTCTTGAAAACTAGAATAACAGACACTGGAACTACTCGTGTTGAGAGCCCTCAGAGCCCAAACAATGAGCTGTTACGATTCATCTTTGGTGAACTTAATTCCAACCTTTCCTTTCCCACACGCTTCTTTCTGGCACCATCATGACCGAAACATCCTTCCACACGCTGAGGGTTGTCAGGCCCCTTCCTCCCCAACACTGTCCTTTGTTAGGACACACGAGTGGGACTGTAGAGCCCTTTCTTTCCGTGTTCAAGGCTGTGTTCAAGGCTGTCTCCAGCGCTCTGACAGCTCACAAAAAAACAGACAGGTAAGCAGAGGCGGCTTCCAGTCAGTGCTGTGCTCAGAATGAACCACATTTCCTCTGACGACAAGTCCATTTAACTTTGCTGTTTTGATAGCCTCTGACGTTAATGTTTGTTAATGGAGCTTCTTGAGAGGTAGGAGGAATTCGCTCTGGACCGTGGAACAGAAGATTGCTCCCACTCAGCTGGGTGTTACTGCTTTGGCACAGTATTAATGTTTTAAACATGTCGAATCCAGCCAAAAGGCAAGTACACATGATACAGGGAAAAGTAAGCTGTGAAGTCACAGTGCACAGCACATTGAAACATTAATCGAACGTTAGTTCTCTGATTTAGAGTTATTGTTGATTCTGGGCATATATTAGTAAAACTTTGATAGGCTTTTAAACAAACTTTGTGAAAACCACACTTTTTCTTTTTTTACTTTAAAAGAACATTAGCAACTATGCTTATCCTATTGAGAAATAGAATCTGGAAGATGATATGCTATTTGATATTTCAGTCACAGACAGAATAGGTAATAATGAAAAGTGTAGGAAAAAATGAAATCATCTAAAAATTACAATTTGAGAATTATTTGTTTTTATGTGTATAATGCTAGACCTCTTTGACCATGTACTGAAATGAAACTAGATACATTTTTCACATTTGTAAAATTTCAGATTAACTATGCATACTACATGATACCACATCATTTAGTTCTGCCATTCATTTACGTTTGGGGGAACATTTATCATGTGCAGGGACCTGTGCTGGATGTACCGTGTGTGTGTGCTGGTGAGGTACAAACAAACAGATGAACAACAAACAAAACAGCTGTGGCCACTGTCCCCCAGCTGCTTCACGCCCAGGGCATTTCAGATTTGTTCATTTAATTGAAAAAAAATTAAGTTTAAAATGTAAAAACTTAGGGAACCATTTATTATGAAACAACATTATAATTTTGGAAATGTCTTGTTAGCACCGTGAGTGCACTCTATATGAATGGAGCCAACCTATAGTTCCAGAAGCTGGGATAGGAACAAAATGAACTGAAGTGCAGAATGCGCCTCTTACCTACACGTTTGTTTTCCTTAGTCATAGCTGGCCCATTTGTGTCACAAACCAAAGTATTGGTGCCACCTCACTGCCTTTCATTTTGTCCTCAGAGTTATCCAATGGAATCACGTATATTTCAGTCTTTTTTCCTTATAATATTGAGGGTCAACATCACCTTGTAGGTTATGACTAGAGTTAAGATGCCAGATAAGAATATTTAATGTTGACTTGTAACATTAAGTATTGGGAAATATTTATAATGTTAAATTATGGGAAATATTTTTAAAACAAGTTCAGCTCTAGGAAATTCACCGACGTTATAACTCACTTCCACATTCAGTTTAAGACGAAAACATTGTGGAAGTGTTTTCAGCAGTTGCCGTACGATTGGAAACGCAAAGAAAAAAAAGCAGCGTGAGGCAGAGTCTGATTTGTGGCCCAGCCTTGGTGCACGCGTGCATGAGGAGGGTCCCTCGGGAGCAGTGGGAATTGTTTTGCCGTCACCGGCTGCCCTGGTGAAAATGCCTGCTCATCTCCATTGTGAGGGTAAATTATTTTCTCCACCAAGTATCAGGGAACAGATGTAATTTATTCTTTTTGTTTCAATATTTTTTTCTCATATAAGGCAAGTTGTTGAAGAACCAAATGAATTTTTTTTTAGGCCTTTGAGCTTTCCCCTCCATCAAATGCTAAAAGTGTGAGGCACGTTTAGGCCATATGTAAGAACATTTGCAATTTTATGAGAAACTTGAGTTATACTGAAGGCACGTCATGATGTTGAATACTTCCATTTAACCCCTGTGATTTGATCATGGTCTGATTTATGACTACTCTTGACCTTGAAAAGACTCACAGCAATCTTGTTAGGAAAACAGTGATACTTCTTGGTGACTCTGGGCAATCAGAGCTGTTTGCCTAAAGGAAAATTCAGACTGTGGGGCTGCTCTTTTCCTTCCCCGCCCTAACCTTTCTTTGTAACCTTGGAATAACTCAAAGACTAAACATGGGTTGAAGGAATAATGTTAATTTAAGACCCCTTGGCAGTTTTAAACAGAATCTGGAGTGGGGAACCTTACTGTTAAAAAGGTTTTTTGAAGTGCAATATCCTTTAGTGAGATAGTTTTAAAAGATCTGTTTCAATCTGCTTAAAAAAGCAAGTCTGTGGTACATTTGAAATGAAAGTGCTTTTTTTCTTTCCACTTAATCCATCTGTTTATTATCTGAAAACTTCTGGAGCAGCTGCCAAGGTTTCATTTTTTTATGTCGTGGTAGAATTTCCGAGGATGAGGTTAAATCACACCCTGAGAAGCAGTCCTCAAAGGGCAAAGCACCTGAAAGGGGGACGGCGAGGACCCTGGGGAGGGAGGCCCAGCCCAGTCAGCTGCAGACAGGCTTCCGTGGGGCCGGCCCAACACCGCCTCCTAGCGGACGGCCCTTCCTAACTCTAGATCACTGCATCTTTTTTGGTTCAACATTTCTTTCAAATGAATGTCTCCATTATTTCTGAAACAATTATTATAGAAGTTTAGGTGCTGTAGATGAGAGTGCTCTTTGCCCTGGAAATTTTATTTTTTAAAGAAGACAGTTTGACATCCTGTCTATTTCTTGATCCTCCTGTCATCCATCCGCCCCACGTGACTTAAATTACTGAAAGGACACAGGGGCCTCAGAGTGCACCACATGCAGTGCTCCGGCAGGTCTTTGAGCTGCTGTTCCTACTTAGCAGAAATGGCAAAGGTTATTGTGGTTTTTGTTCCTTTTCCCCTCAAGACTATATGGTGTGCTGCCATTTCCTTGGATGTCTTGATGACTATCTTGATGTTCTTTTGGGTCTAGAAAGAATTGATCTTTCTTACCCCCTTGCTTCTGTCATTGATGGATATGACAGGGCACTTCCGGGGCCAATAATTTCTTATCACTGTCTCACTGAGACCCTCTCTCACAAAGGAGCTGGTGAAGCTGGAAAGCAAAATTCTGTGACTAGCTCTGGCAGTGGGCAGACAATGAAAGTTTGTTGGGTCTAAAAGGAAGAATCAAATGTTGCTCACCGATTTTAAACAACCCCTCAAGGGCAGACGGAAGGGTCTTCTTTCAGTTTTTCTGAAACTGTGTTGCGATGACAATATGGTTTTGTGTGTCTGTGTGGTTTTGTTTCTGTTCTGTTTTTGACTTCACAGGAAGAGGTTTAAACATGAAGGCAAACCTTTTAGATGTCAGCATGGCTACCACAAAGCAAAGCTTCCTTTTTTTTTCTTTTCTCTGCTTCCATTTAGGCCTATCACATAATTTAAGAAAAAATAAAAATTTAACCGCAGGAACTCTAACTATAGTGTGAAAAAAACCCTGATCGATTTTGTTTTCGCAGCACGATATTATCAAAGATTTAAGAAACAATTTTGCCAGCATCGGCGAGAACTCTCTGGTAACAGCATTGATGTCTGTGTCGGTTGCTTTTGGTTTAAAGGTTTCTTTTTTCATTTGTTTGAGCCCATTTTTTCCCCCTCCTTTGAGTTTATTTATTTTTCATATTCTGTAACCAGCAAGCCTTCATTTTTTAAACCTCTTCCATCTTCCAGTGTCTCTTTGCCGTTCTTTGATGGAAAGTTTATGGCAGCAAAGCGGTCCCTCTGCTGCAGCTCCTCCTGCTCTGAGGTCACATGTTTTGGCCTTTGTGTTGACGGACATGATACTAACTGAGCGTTTCATGTCCCATTGACCAAGCTTCCCTACCACGCCACCGACGGGCTCGCTGTTACCGGGCTCTATGCAACTCTCATTCTGCAACTTGTACTGCTTAGTCCCGTCTCGGTTCTCCAGTGAGCTGGACAGCTCAAGTGACGATCCTTCCGGTCTTGCACTCGCTGTGCCTTTATATTTTCTCTTTATTTCCTTCTTTATGTTTTCAGTGGTAGCTTGAGTGGAACAGAGCAAACTCCAGCCATTGCCCAGCAGCACCATGCAGTATTGTTTGTTGCCACCAGAGAATACAAAATATAAAGGCACACGGCTTCTTTATTCTTTGGGGGGCACCGGGGAGATCTCTCTCATAAGTCTGCTGCTTTGTTGAAGCCTACTTTTTACCCATATCAGCTTTCAATTTTGCTTAAACTCCAACACGTCTCAGTTAACATTTTTCTGTCACTCAGTGATACCTTGCAACTCGAGCCATTTGCTGAGCAGTATCAAGTTATGGCCATGACATGGGAGATTATTCAAAATGTGACAAACATGCACAAATGTATAATTCAGAAAGTGCAAGTTTCAATGATGAAGTACAGCTACTTCAAAACTATGGTACAGGCTTTGGACTGATCAAATCATTAAAATTGAGACAATCCATTCCTGGTAAACCAGTTGACATAAAACCAAGAGTCGAACATGTGAACATCTGTGTAATAGCAGTGTTGGTGTTGAAATGGTCCATGATGTTGCCATAGAGCCCGTACATGAGGAGATGACTAACAGTGTGGTTTAGAGAAGCTACTTGCTAACCGACGCCCACAACATAAATGGTTGGGGTTTGTGTTCAGGAGAAGGAGATGGAGAAGCAGAAGCTCCTATACCAGCAGGCCCGGCTGCATGAGCGCGGCGCTGCCGAGATGGTGCTGCAGACCATCAGCGCCAGCAAAGGTGAGCCCCCGGGCGGTGTGGCAGCACCGCCTCCCTGCGCAGCACCCCACAGTCGAGCCCACTGACCCCGTCTGTGCCCGCGTTTCTGGGTCACGCCCAGGTCAGTGATGGACCCGACCCGAGCCTGCCTTTGCTCAGGGAAACCTTGACTCTTGTTGCAGTCTTTTTGAAAGATCTATTTTATTTCTGCTTAAGAAGTGTTGGAAATTCTATTGTGACCCAACTCCAGCGAGCTGCTTGCGTGAGCCAGGTACGCAGGCGTTTCCTGGGAAAGGCCAGGGGAATGCTCTCAGCTTCCTGGCTGCGGGGCCTCTGTCACAGCAGTGGGTGGGCAGCTACGGACACTGTGGAAGCAGATGGAGTGGCTGTGTTTTAATAAAACTTTATGAAAACCCATGACAAGCTGGGTTTGGCCTGCAGACCACGGTTTGCAGACCCTTGATAGAAATGTGTAGACCTTTAAAGCGAGCCCTTTTTAACAATTAAAGTAATATTGACATACATTTTTCAGTAGCTAGCCATTTCAGGATGGTTTTTCTTACATTAATAGTATCTTCTTTTTGAAAACCTTTTTGCTATAATTTGTGACAGAATGGGAAATTAATGCTGGCACACTCTGTAAATATGGGGATTATTTCTATTTTTCTAAGATAAGTATAGGTGAATAACATGAAAGAAAATATACACTAAATGATAGTCAACTAGTTGGATTTAAAATTTTGCCATTATCATTTGAATAACTTCAGATTGGGACTAGTCATCCTAACAAAGCAAGGCTACGACATATTAAGGTAAAAGTGAGGACATGAAAATAATGAAAGTTGCTCAAACATAATGTTCAGGGAGCAAGGAGAGAAGTTTTCCATAAGGAAAATTTTAAGTGGCTTATATTAATTTCAATAAGCATAGTTTCGAATTTTAATAATTTTTCGGTCTCAGTATTTCAAAATCAATTGTTTTTTCATAATTTTTTGTCCTCATATAGTTTTAGTTCTGTCTATATTACCCAACATTTGGTAAAACATTGATGGCAAAATATGCATTATTACCTTTAAAATATTTTTTGATATGTAAGTCTGTCCCCCTCTACCAAAATAGAGATTTGTAGGGGTGGTAATAATTTTAAAAGTGCACATTTTGAGGTAGAAGAGGCTAATGTGGCAGGTAAAATGATGTAAGGAACACTGTTTTTTGTATTTTAAAGGTGAAACGGGACCGATGGTAGCTGCTACTTTGAAACTTGGAATTGCTATCCTGAATGGCGGCAACTCCACAGTACAGCAGGTAAAGTCTTTAAGCCACTCGTATAATGCACTTTTCAAGCAATGGGGCAGGTAGCCCTCCTGTTGAGCTACTTGAGTATCCTAAAAGCACTATTAATTGCAGGCTGTCTCATTTTCTATGTGAAATATGTCTTTACTTTATGATCACCTTGTCCCACATCCAAATATCTTCTAGGCACACTAAACGCCCCGCTTGGGCACCAGCTCTCTTCAGAGTCTTAAGTCACGTGCATGTCATCATCACCCGCAATGCTCACTCCAGGGACCCTGCCAAAGCCGCCAGCTGGGGCGCTTCCTAGTGAAAAGGCGATTCTTACCCAGGCCTAGCGGGGCATGTGGTGGGTCAGGTTACAGCTCCTGACAGGTGATCCTCTGGACTTCATTATGTATTGATACGAAGCCTGTTGTAGGTGAACACATAAGCAGAATGCACTGTCAAGAATTATATTAGTTGTAGATACTTCTAGTCTCCTAAGAAATGAGAAAAATAACTTTGCAACCAAGTTTTGAACTATGCTCTGTTTAAAGGTTTGGGCTGGGGTTTTAATAACTTCAACCAGGGCGACGAAGGATGCCGTCTGAAGGCCAAGGTCTGGGAGTTTGGTAAAATGAGAGTACTCGGGTGACTTAAAACAACTGTCAGAAACAGGCTGTCTCAGGTTGTGTGCCACACACCTGGGGGCTGCCATCCACGTGGCTACAGTGTAGTCCTAAACTCAGATAAAAATTCTTGTGCCAATTGAAAAACAGCAAAACAACATAGTTTAAGTAACAGATCATGTTATTCTAAAGCTAAAATCTCCCTTTCATATTTTGGCTTCTGTATGAGAAAGAATGGTTCATGAGCATGGAACTAAGAACCACTCTTTTTTGGGTAAATTTCTGTGAGGCAGGTAAAGGGCTCCCCCCGTAGAAGGAAAGAAAGGCTAACAGAAGCCTTAGCATGCTGACTGTGGGTTGCTGCGAATCTCGGAATTGCTACCATGGGAAAGGGCCTGAATGTGCTGCTAGAAGATCCTGGAGCCTAAGAAAAGTGAAGCAGAGAAAATTTGGTGAAGTTGGGACCAGGTTAAGTAGCAATGCAGCATAGCTGAAAAACTCATCTGTACGTTTTTCTCAAATTGTATACTTTGCTCTGTAAATGTAATCATTGCATTTTAGGACCAGGCGAGAACACAGACGTCACCCCATCCCCAGCCCTCAGCCCTTTCTTTTTAATGCCTCTACCACTTCAGTGAGGCCTCCAAACTCCATCTGTGCGATGTTTGTAAATGCACAAAGTCAAATTGCACAGACTTACAGAAGCCAAATGTACTGAAATGCAGTTATCAAATGTTATAAAACAGGTTTTTGATAACAGTGTGTTTCTTTATGAGTTCATTAAGTAAAATATTTAGACCTTGGTCTAATAAACATGGAGGACAAGTGATCAGTCTATTTTCAAATAGCTGTAGTGACTGTACCGTGCTCGGTACAGTTTCCTGGTACAAAAGGTCAGTGACATGACAGTAGCCACTGGCCCTCCTGTGCAGTGCTTAGGTTACTAGTTGAAAGGGATGTTTCAGTTAGAAGGCAGGGAAAACAAAGATTTTTTTCCCCATCTAATTTATAGATGTCCTTTTTTTTTTTATTTCCATAGTAAAAACCTGTATAAGTTTTTAAAAAGGAAAAATAAAGAAAATCTACCTAATCTCTTCACAATATCTGTCAAATAATTTCTCTTGCATTGTGTTTTACTTGAAAATAACTTAATTGTATAATACACATATCCAGATATTCTTACAGCTGAAAGGAACCTTGAGACATCATATGGAAAAAATACAGTAATTAAATAATACAAAAATAAACTGTGTTTCATATATTCACAACTGTAAGCCTACTTCTGGCAGTCTATATACTTATTGTTTACATAGATCTTTGCTCTTTTTCTCTAAAAAAAAGGTGATATTCTGTCACCTCCCTTTGACCCTCAAAGCCATATTTGTTTTGTTTTAAAAGACCAATGACTAATGAGTGCTTCATGTTTTAATAGACCAGTAACTTATCACCACCTTCCCCAAATGGCTATGTGTTTTGTGGATCTCTGTGGGTATTTGTATACATATACATGGGTAGGCATATGCATATTTCTATATATGCATATATATATGTATACAATAGGTACATATGATTACATATACATATATGTGTGCATGTGTATATAGGTGTATATAGGTATATATGTGTATGTATATACATATATAATGCATATATCATATATATGTGTCTATATACATGTGTGCCTGCAGTTATATATGTATATATACGTGTGTGTGTATAGGTGTATATGTATGTATATATTATGTGTGCATATGTATATGCGCATATATATAGTTATATGTGTATATACATATATGTGTATAGGTAGATAATGTGTACATATTCATATGTATGTGTGTATGCAGCCTTAACGCATTTAATTTTATATTACCTTTGAGTCTGATTTCTGAAAAAAATTTTTCAGAAATTTTTTGACTATTTTGAATATTTATTACCAAAATTGTGACTATTTAGCTGAGCCCTGTTTAGACAGCCTAATCATAGGAATTATTCCATAATCAAAATTTGGAGATCAGTACTTTATTTTTTTAGAAGCTTGGCATGCCTTCTGTGAACTTTTCATGGTGTATGTACTTATTTGAAACCTCCAACACATTACACCACCTTTTAAAAAGCTGTTGCAGCCCTAGTTGATGTGGCTCAGTGGACTGAGTGCTGGCTTGCTAATCAAAAGGGTTGCTGGTTCGATTCCCAGTGTAGGGCACATGGCTGGGTTGCAGGTCAGGTCCCCAGTAGGGGGCACACAAGGTGCAGCCACACATTGATGTTTCTCTCCCTCTCTTTATCCCGTCCTTCGCTTCTGTAAAAATAAATTTTAAAAAAAATTTAAAAAAAGCTGTTCCATTTTCATGCACAACAATGAGCATCAAATGAGCTAACGATATTCACTCCATGCATTCCTTTAGCTTTTTTTACATTTATGTTTAACCACAGAACCTGGACATCATTCTGAGTACAGAGGAGAAAAATACAATAGTCAAATAACTCCTCGGTAGAGACTATGCTAACAGAAACCAAACTTCTGTCTGTACCATCAGCACATGGTAGTTACAGCCCTTGGATGGCCGTGGTTTAAGGAACTCACTTTTGTATGGAATCTGTGACTAGCAACCAGACAGACCTTCTTCCCAGTGAAATAAAAGTGCCTGAATCTTCAGACACTTAAATAGTGATGAGAAGAGAATGAAGAGTTATTCTCACGGATATTTATGGTGCTTCTGGTGTTTGTGTAGAGCACCACCCTGTTCCAAGCCATGTTCATGTGCTGCACGTAGACCTGGGCCACTCTCTGGCTGGGATATGCTGTCACCGTTTTACGGAAAAAGATGACATTGGTAATGTGTACGCATTGAATATTAGTTTGTCTTTATTTCAGAATAGATGTGTTTTTGTTGTTTCTCTACTTACCAATAACGAGTTGCACTCAGTGGCCTTGTGGTTTCTATTTGCTGCAGAAAATGCTCGACTACCTCAAGGAGAAGAAGGATGTGGGTTTCTTCCAGAGCCTCGCTGGCCTGATGCAGTCCTGCAGGTGAGTGCGCGCAGTTTCCGCACTGGCTCCGCAGCGCTGTCTTTCGCAGTGTTTGTCTTACACTGTGGACAATAATTATACACAGAAGGACTTTTAGTGATTAAACATACTTTAAAGGGGGGCAAAAGTTAACTGTCTTATTTCCTGTCTTATTGTTAGGTATTAGTAATATCTTAATTACTAAATTACTCAATGTTGATAATGTGTTGGAAGAATCTCCCCTGTGCTTAGATAGGGACCTTGGAGAATTAATGTGAACTCTGCATATTTGTACATGAGTGGTGTGTGATTTTTAAAAGAGAAAAAAGGAAATTCTATTTAATTTTATTTGGGAGCTTGTGGACCATTTCTCATTTTTCCTAAATAAATGGTCCTTAATCAACTAATTTATGGTAATTACTTTCTATGTTTATGGCACTTAAAATCATTCAGACAGCAGTTGACTAAGGACCTGATAGACACTTAACGTAATAACCTATTCCACCTGGAAAAACAAGGTTATTAGAATTGTATTTAAGTATGTCTGCCACCTTCCTAATGTGCGCCCAGAGTAGGAGCCCACCAGTGGCTCATGCTTGACTTTCACGGGAGTCACGTCAGCCTAGGCCTGGGGAGAGACCAATCCCCAGGGCACCAGGAACCTTGGCTGGTAGGCACTGGACCGGGGCATGTTTCCAGTATGCGTTAACATTTGGTTTACATTTCAAGATACCCAGTTTGTAGACATTGGTTCTTGTGAAGAAAGATTTTCTAGGATCCTCTGAGTGTGTTTCTTCCTGTTATTGTAGTGTCCTCGACCTAAATGCATTTGAGCGACAGAACAAAGCTGAAGGACTTGGAATGGTGACAGAGGAAGGATCAGGTATTGATTACTTAAATTAAAAGGGTTACCTGTGTCCCTGCTTTCCTGACATGGGTCAGCCATCCAGCATCTTGTCAGCACAGAGAGGTGCAAGGCTGTCTTTTAGTGGACAGGGTGCTTATGTAACTCGTTTAAAGCCCCTAATTGGACACTCACAGGTCACACCCAACCCAACCTTCCACAAGGTCGTCCCCTCTTACTGTTCCCTGTCTCCCGTCGTGGCCTCCACCTGGCTGGGGAGCAGAAAAAGACCCTTATTAGAGTTACCCACAAAATGAGGAAGTGCATGGCTGTTCCAGGTTAGAGAATGGGCGTCAACAAACAGGCTCTCCTGCCTGGGCCGCTACCCCAACCCCCAGCCCTGCCACCCCGTCCCTTAGCACAGTGACCCTGTAGCTCATGGAGCCAGCCATCTTCACAGGCCCAGCTCTTTGAGGAAAGACACTCAAGAGTAGTATTTGTTCAGACAATTTACACGTGCACAGAAATGACTCATGTATTCTTGAGTTTTTTTTCCTCTATAATTAGATGTGTGTATAAACCAGAAAAATTAGCACACAGTGTAGTTAAAGCAAAAATAACTATTGTTGTACATTCATTTTAATATTTATTAAGAAAAAAATCACTATTTTTAATTTGTTTTTAATCTTTTGTGTTTTATTTTTTAATTAGTTTTAGTGAGGCTCTATGTGTTTATCTGTCTTTGGTCTGGTTTGGAGTTATCAATATATACACTGAGTCTTCTATAATACTAATCTTGCTGCAAAAAATAAATCTCCTCTCATCTGCCATTTGTAGTCTGCTTGCCTTCCTGAAATAATAATTAACCAATCTATTTTTGTTCTCATAATAGGAAAAAGTATTAGTGCCTATTTCTTACTATATTTTAAAAACTCTCATTTAGACATATTCTAGAGCTGCTGCTGGTACTATATAGTTCTTGGTCTGATTTTACTTTCTGCTTGGCAGTTGAATCTGTATGTTTCATCACCAAGTATTAGTCATACTGTAACTTAATTGTGTTATCTACCTTCAAGAAAAGTCACCAGCAGCAACTTGCGTAGGTTTCTTGAGTGCCAAGGAAAAACTGCTTTGTGTTTGTGACAATAGTCACAACGCCTGGCCTGAGGGCCTGCCTCTGTCACTGAGGTCTGGGGCATTTTCCAGTGTAAAGTGCCTAAAAATGAATGAATTCTTGTGCAGTCTGACTTTCTTGTTTTGGAATTAGAAATATTTCAATTTTCCTTGAAGTTATTCCCTAATGTTCTGTAGGCTCTGAACACAGTTTCAGGAATCACCCTTAGTCATTGTTCCTATCAGCTCGCATGAGGTACTGGTGGCCCCCCAGGCTTAATTTCCTGGGTCTCCTATCCATTGTCAGCCAGAGCTGGATGGGAACAGCGTTTGGGATCCCTGATCAGAAACTGGGTGGGAGCAGCCACTCTGACATGAGAATGCCTACATCTCCCAATGTGGGGCTGCTTTGACTCGTCCATGTTGTTTCAACACACGCCCAGAATAACTGCCCAAACTGATTAACACGTTTTCTATTTTATTTCCTTACAAACAGCAAAACCAAACCAACATCTCAACTTTTCTTTTTCCCCATTTCCTTTTCTTTCAACTACTATAAATGTACTTTCCTTCCTCAGTCATCACTCATGAGCCTGGTAACTATTAAAAATGAGCTGCCTTTTATTTCTTTGCTCTTGATTTGTTGCTGGCTTTGTGTATAGTCTTGGTAGTGATAGTTTTTGTGCCTTTTTCTTTTCATAGACCATTTTAACAAGTAGATTATATAATTTCTACCATTATGCATCCTGTTATTTTTTTAAATGTATGTACTAAGGTTTTCTTTTTATTCCTTTTCCTATGAGGATACTCAATTATTAAAATATTAGACATGAAAGAGCAACAAGCATTTAAATTATGTTTTTGGATGTGTTCTGTTCTGTTTCCTTCGTTTAAATGATCCTGGCAGACCCAGTGTTCGCGACTGTTGTGAAACTGAGTGAACCTGGGTGTGCGCAGTGACTCCCGTGGCGTTTCTGTCTGGGACATACTGTGGCTTTATGGCTAGTCTGCGGGAGCACCGGAAATCAGCGGGCACGAGGGTGGGCTCGGCTAGAGCCCCCTGCTGCCCAGGGGCCCTGCTGGGTCCCTTCCACGCACTGAGAGCGACGGGTTTTCTTTAGTCTTTTGAGAACAGTACTTGTCAAAAACATTCTTAACATAAAAACTAATTTTTATTCTTGAGACCAAATTCAGAGAACACCAGAATGGTAGGAATATGTAGTCTCCAAATTCATATAGTAACAAAGATGGTACTGAAATCTCAAATATTCTCTAAAAGACTTACATGGAAATAAAGAAGGGAAGAGGTGACACCTGTTTCCAGATTGATTAAGAACAGCTAAAGTGGCTCTGTGTTTTGGCATATTTTTAAAATGAGTTACACAGCCATTTTTTAAAGCTACTACAAAGGTTAAGGAATGCTTGTAGCCCCCTTGGAGAGGGCAGGTCAATCCTTGCTTTGGAATCATACACAGCAAAGCCTGGGACGTCCAAGCTTGGCGCCCACGGGGTCGCTCCAGCTCGAGCCCCCCGCCCCACCCCGCTGAGAACGTAGACTCTCAGAGCCGAAGCTTCCCGTCTGATCTGTCTCCACGAGGTGGTGTCTCCCTCGTGAGGATAAAGGGACCCTAACTTAAGCACACAGACTCCCCGGTCCCCACCCACACCCCTCCAGTGAGGTGTCGTCCTCTTTACTGATGAGGATGAGACGGAGGCACACAGGTCCCACGGCCTGTCCCGGGCCCCGCAGGCCCGGGGCTGAAATGCGGGCGTCCTGCCTCACACGTGTACCTCCCCATCCTGCCGCCCAAGCCCCTTGCCCACCCGTTGCCCCGTGTTCTGGTTTGGGTGGCGTTGTTTTGTCCCATTCCCTGTTGTCCATTGCTCCCTTCGAAGGCCCCAATCTGTTGCCAGTTCTTGCAGTCATTGTGGAAGTTTTAAAACCACTGTTGAACTTTCTGTGGTGACAAATAATATTCCTAATGTGGTATTGAGATTCCAGTAGGAAATTTGTTTCTTACAGGTTTGTACCCAAAGATTTCAGACTGTTGGTATATATTCCTTTTTCTATTGCTGTCACTGTCATGTTGGCCCAGGGTCCTCATCCCTCCTTAACTAAATGTCCACATTTCTACGGAAGCCTGGAACACCCACTTGTCTTTAAATAACAACAACAGACACCCACATTTTTTCCAGCAAGTGTTTCATGGATGTGTAGACCTGTGATGCGATCATGTCTTCTCTGTATGCTTTTTAGTTATATGTGTTTTCTTTTAACATATAATGACATTCAAAGCAAAAAAAAACCCCTGTATGGATAGTTAAAATTTCATTCCATCCTGGGGTTTTAGTTTGTTTTTCCTCTGAGCCCCTTAACCGCCTCGCTACGGTAAATCAGGAGGAGCCGAACGGCCGCCGCCTCCTCCCAGGCTCCGGCCGACGGAGGCGGCCCACTTCGCGGCGCTCGCTTTGCCCCGGCCGTGGCCTTCGGAGCAAACTGAATTGTGAGGCCGACCTGATTCCTCAGACATGGCTTGGTTTACATAAAGTGGACAGAAAACATGAACTACCAGTTAGCCCTCCCGAGCCTCCATCGGCTCTGCCTGGTGTGTCTGTAGGGAGAGTTGAAGCACAGGGCGTTCGGTTTCCCTGACCCGCCCCCGAGGATGCCTGGCAGCCTGTGGGGGCCGGCCCGCCGAGGCTGTCGCTGTCCCGGGGCTGCCCCGCCCGCTTAGTGGCCTGGCTCTCAGGGGCCTCGGCCCGCCGAGGCTGTCGCTGTCCCGGGGCTGCCCCGCTTAGTGGCCTGGCTCTCAGGGGCCTCGCCGCCGCCGCCGCCGCCGCCGCCTGCCCTTCCTGCGGGCGACCGTCTGCTGGAGGAAACGCGAGCGCGCGTCGGTGTGAGTGGCCGCGATGCGCCCGGCGCCGTCCGGGCGCGGGGGCTCCTCAGGGCGCAGGACTTTGTGGACAGGCTTGGGGACGAACGGCCTCAGCGCGGCGCCCGCGGTGTGCGTGCGCGGGAGCCGAGCCGCGGGCTGGCGGCTGGGGCGCGGGGCGGCTCACACGGGCCCAGGCGGCCGGTGGAGAGGGAGGGCTGTGCCCAGGGGTCGGGAACAGGTGAGTGGCCGGTGGGAGGCCGCGACGGCCTCCTGTGCCCCGGGCATCTGCGCGCGCCTCCTGAAGCGGCGGGCGGCCGTTCGAGCGTACGGCGCGCTGAGGCGGCCGTGCGCGCGGGGTGAGCGCGCCCGGGAATTCGGCTCCTGACTGACAGCCCGGGTCCGGCGCGCGCCTGCGGGGGTGGCTGCTCGCCCCGCAGGCTCCCGGCTTCTCCGCGAGGCTTGAGACCCGCGCGAGCTGGGCCCTGCCGTGAGGGGCCGGTGGCTGCCTCGGGGCCGCGCGTAGCCGAGGTCAGGCGGCTGCCAGGCTGCAGGGGGTTCCCGCGAGCGTGCTTTCCGCGGGCCCGGTGCAGGCGTCGGCAGGCGGCGGCAGGCGGCGGGCTGCTCCCCCTGCGCCCGCGCGGCGCTGCCCGAGTCTGAAGGTCGGGCCAGCAGGGAGGCTGGTGTGTGGGACGCAGGGAGGACAATCGGGGTTTCAGCTGGAGTCCCGAGCGCTGAGAGGCAGCAAGAGAAGGTGACAGGAAAAAGAACCTGCAAGTCGCATTTGAAAACAAAGGGATATTCGCCCCACAGCCACCCTGTACTTGAATCTTAGCCACGGGACGCACCTAATCTATTTCACAAAGCGGTCACTTTTGTTTTTACTTCTTGGGATTCGAAATAGGGGTTTGCTTCATGCACTGGTGTTGGGTTGTTGCCTTAATTTATATATCTGCACTTAGTAGACTGTATGGATAATGTATCATATCCACAGCCCATGGAACTGCTATATCTAGAAATCTAGTTTTCTTGAACCTTACATTTATTCCTGTTCAGCTTTGCATATTTCAAAGCAGTTGTGCTTTTTTGAACCAATGTGATTCTCCCAACAGCCCTGCAAGTAAGGAGGTTAGGATTGTTAATCCCCATACGGTAAACAAAGGCTCAGAACAGTCCATTGACGTTTCCAAAGCCACACTTCGCGAAAATGTTTTCCTTGGGTCCTAAAATTGATGAAAGCAAGCAGAAACTCACTCGTTAAGTAGCATCCAGTGTGTGGTCAAAGGCCGTTAGCCAAAGATCTCCCTGGTTACTGAAGGAGGAGACCTTGGCGAAGTTTAGAAACTATGGCCTAGTGGGTTCTGGGAGACTTTGCAATATTAAGTGGCCGCTGCTGCTCATCCCCGCTTTAGACTGGCGACTTCTTGAGATTAGGGATGATGTCCGTTAGTCGGTCATCCCCAGCACCTCACCAGGTACTCAGCGTAGAGGAGACACTTGATGAATGTTTGTTCAAGTTTATTGGGTTCAGACGCTTGATCAAAGGTTAAAAGCTGTGGGACATTAGTCAAGCTCCTAAATTTCTCAGGTGTTTACTAAACCGCAAAATGGGATTCATATCCCTATGGATGATTGTGCCCCTGAAATGAAACGATGAGAAAATGTACCTAGCACTGTGCCTAGCACAGCATAGCCACTACCTACATGCTGGCTGCGAGCCCTTGTTTGTTAGATGAGTCGTGACATCATTGAGCAGCCATGCGTAAGCCATTTAAGCAGTGACATTGAAACCACCCACATGGAATTGAACACCTGACTTGTCACTATTGAAAACTCTTGCTCTTGGTGATTCTTCAGTATTGCATGGTACAAAGTAGATAGTTCAGTCTCCTAAAGGTCAGTCCCCAGAATTCTTTCCCCCACGGCCGTGAGGGGTTCCTGATGTGAGCAGCCTCGCGTTCGGCTTTGCGGTGCTGGAGACATCGCCGTGGAAGGACCTGTAGCTGCTAGGACTGCACTCCTCGCAACTCTGTTTGCCCTCATTCTATGTATAGGCACACTAGGTGGTCTTTTTACTTACTGCATTTATTTTATTAACAACTACTGGTAATTAATTTTTAACAGTTAATAACAATTAAACCAAGCTTTGTCTGGATATAAGGCCATAAACTTTGATCTGTGACTGTGAATATTCTAACTAAATAATTGTGTACTTTTAGTGGAGTAAACCAATTTGTGAATAGAACAGTGGTTTTTAAAAATGTTAACTTTATTAGATCTCAAAAGTAGGAATTAATATTTAGTGGCAGCTTGAATAAATAAGGTCTACCTAACATTATTTCAAAGTGAAAATTTATATTTTTGAGACTATCTTGGTTCAGTAAAATTAAGATGGCTTTTTGAAAATACAAACACATTTACTAAATATGTTCAAGAAACTATATTTATCATGTAGGAATGCTGTTCCTTTATGTAGTGTTACTGCCACTGTTACTAATACCGAGCTTCCCACAATGTGTGAAAATGGTCACGTAGGTGATGGAGAGCCAGTGAAGTGGACCGTACACAATATCCTCATTTTGTAGATGAGAAAACTAAGGCACAAAGAACCAACTCGTCATCAGCAGTGACACTGCAATAGCTCTCCCTTTATTATGGTATTAGAAATTCTAAACCCCTTGCAATTAAAACAAAGGCAAAGGAAAGCTCTTCATAATAGTTACTTTTGGCACTCATGCAGCTATCACACACACAAATTAAGAAAGTAAGAGCACTTTCAAGTCCATTTTACTCCGTCTCATTACTTGTTGTTAATCTCAGTTTCCGTTGTCCAGTGAACTTTGTGTTGCACCTGTTACCACGTGGGCTGCTCTCCTGTGCCTCCTGCAGACATAAAGCCGTCATCCCTCTCCAGCTGCCCTCCTTCCTGCAGCATGGGCGGTGGCAGCATTTTAACCAGATGCAAACGTGTGCCTTGCGCAGTCATACCCCTTTGCACCTGGTTCGCCTGGCTGGAATGGAGGCTTCCGCCTCCTGCCCCAGATCATCTGCTGCGTGCAGCACATCCTCATGAGAGTGAGGTCACTGGTGTGTGTACACAGTTGAGAAAACACTATGCCTGCCAGCAGTGACTAAACCTTATGTTACAAATCAGTGGGCAGTGTGCTGGGCATTTTCAGGTCCACAGGTAGACTTCGTGGTCTTTATTTCAGTGGTAACTGTTCTGAGTACTTTCTATCAAGGGTTACTCATTCCACATGAAATATATGAACATTGAAAATATGTACGTGGTTTATCGATTTGATTTTGGGGGGAAAAACATTTTAGATGGGCTCACGAGAATCAATAAAGCTCATGTAAGTAACTACTGATATTTTGACTTAAGGATCATTTTAAAGACTCTTCTGATTAAAACAGCTCATGAAATGATGCTAAGTATTATTGATGAAGAGTTCAGTTTATAGGCCCAGACTGGTCTCCTTTCCGTATCCGATCATGAACTAAACACCAAGGAATGGGCTTATCAGCCATGTAATGAGATTCAAGACATGGTGCGTTTAACATGTGGACTTGCCACAGGGCTGGTCTGTGGACCTGGTGACTTTAGTCTGGTCACCCAAGATTGTATTTTACAGGCTCACAGGGAAACCAGTACAGTGACATCATGTACTTTTTTAAATGTTTATATTAGTTTTCAAAAATGGTTTTGCTTCCTAACCCTTCCATTACATGAAGCCTGTCACTTTGAAAGTCACAGACTGCAGACTGGTAAGTCCATCAGCTCTGTCATTGCTGTTGTTCCCACTTTCAGTTGAAGTGAACACGTGGTCATCGCATCATGTTCTTTTTTAACCCAAAGTATTTCCAGTCTGAGAATTTATTAATATTATTATTTTTAAATACATAAGTACATTCACTCACTTGCCAAACAACATTTTTTTTGTCATTTTGCTTTCTAAACTAATTTAGATTCCAGAGCATATGCTCATATGTTGAACATTTTTTTCACTGACACTTTTTGTTTTTAAAATCAACTTGCATTTGTGTGGTGCTGGTTTTTGTTTGTTTGTTTTTTGTGTCTTTGCTTTCAGAGTAGCTTGCGATAGAAATACATTTAAGTTGGAACAGAGGCAGAATATCTGAGCCTTTCGGCGGTGTCCCTTGCCCCACAAATACACTTAGTCTTTAATGCTGCAGAGTACGCGGCTTTAACGTGAACATATGTGCTAGACGCAGAAATCATTTCTGTACACATCTATTTTTAAAAAAGAAGAAAGAAAGAAAAATGTTTAAATCTTCAGGTTGCTTCTAAAATGTTGCCAAACCCATGCTGCTACTTTTGACAGAGAGAAATCTGAGTGTTGAGATTCAAATATTCTTTTCTGACAAAGAAAATGTGCATCTATCTGCCAAGCGCATGGTCATATGAGCTTCAGATAGAGGAGCGGCCCTGACCTGTGACTGCTTCCGTTCAGAACGATGCTAGACCCACCTGCAAGTGTGGTGGAGGTGGGGCCAGGGCGGGGCACACTCGCTCAGGTGGTTGATAACGTCTGGACTTTCCTGCAGGAGAAAAGGTTCTTCAGGATGACGAGTTCACCTGTGACCTCTTCCGCTTCCTGCAACTGCTTTGTGAGGGACACAACTCAGGTTTGTGAGACCTGAGGCTGGATGATGGTACCAGGAATACATGTTTGAAGCCAGTGATGACAGAGGCCGGTCAGTTCCCAGGCAGGCTCCTCCCCGGAACCAGCGGCCAGCCCCTGAGCATCGCGCTGTGTGTGCGGGCCCTGGCCCTGTGACATTTTACATGTTGCACTGCTGCTTCAAAGCCCTTTGTAGCCATTTCACTAACTCCCATCAGTTGCTCCTAGGTTGGAGTAGACGGGTCGCAGGTGAAAAAGATGCAGATTGGAGAGGTCTCTGTAGAGAAATACATAGCTCTGTCCCCTTGTGCCCCTTCCCTGTACCTGGGGAAGGCACCCACGGATCCCCACGTATAAGTGCTTCCGCCCACTGTTGATGGACCCAGCTCTGCACTGGCTGCTGCGTCCAGGCGGGTGGGAGCGAGGTGGGGAGTTCCACTCAGTTACCGAGTTACTGAGCACAGTCCTGAGGAAGAAAGGGTGACGGAGTAGTGTAGTTGTTGCCTGCTACAAGGGGGGCCCTTTCCCAGTCCCGGCCCAGGGCTCTAGAGGGAGGAGTCAGGAACCGTGTCAGCCACCTCTCGGACAAAAAGTGACAGTGTCTGCTCTGTGGGCACCCAGACACGCTTATGGGGTGGCCACTCACTTTTTATGGAAAACACGAACTATTTCATGTTAAAACTGCTCTTAGCCACAATGATTTTGCTGGAGACATCATTTGCTTTTAGAGTTATTCAAATAACAAGTCACTTTAAACTTTGGAATGAGCTTTAATGGTATCTTTTGGTCTTATATAGATTTTCAGAATTATCTGAGAACCCAGACTGGCAACAATACCACTGTCAACATCATCATCTCCACCGTGGACTACCTGCTGAGGGTTCAGGTATCCTGCCGCATGCGAAAGCGACAAATTAAAGGGGTTGCTTAGCCAAAATAACATGGTGGATTAATACGTTAAGGTGACATGTCGTGATGTGTTTTGGTTTATGACTAGTTGGATGTTTCGCCTTTGATCAGCCTTCAGGAGAAATGGGCCCTTTGTCTCTCTGTCTCTGATGTTGGCTCTACTTTGCTCATCATTTTCTGTCTATAAGTGCTATCTTTCCCTCTACATATTGTAGCTTGTTGGCATTTAAAATTTTATTTTCATTTTGTAAAGCACTTACATGCTGTGCTTTTTCTGTAGTGGATAGATAAAAGGGGGAAGAATATTCAAAACATTCTCAGGAATGGGAAAGAAAGGTTTTCCAACTACGTATATACTTACATTTAATAACCTCATGTTAGATCTCTTCAGCTGTCCTAATATTTGAATTAATTTCACAATTCAGCTTAAAACTCAGTCAGTTAAAAAACTCTCTATTTTAGTGACTTGTTTACATGTTTATAAGAACATATTTACATGTTCTGAAGGTGGAAGCCTCCTCAACGAGGAGAGCCTGTGCATTGAAACTTTTACTTCTCATCTTATTTACAGGAGAGGTCAGTATCATACTTGGAAAATCCACACAGACTTCCAGTTTTTCCCTAAACCTTTAAGTGTATAAAAGCACAACACTTTTTTACTTAAAGCTTAATGGGGGAAAGCATCTATTTTTGAAGCATATGTGTACATTAAGAAGAGTTGGTAAAAACATATTTGTGATTTTTTTACATGTCTCAAAACCCAAATGTAGTTTGCACACGAGGCTAAATTGTGTTATTCATTTAGCTAACTAACATTCCTTCCGAATATAAGTTATTCTTGAAAATATCCTGCCTAGAGAGACTGATCTTACTTAGATGTTTGCTTACAGTTGTCAGTATTTACCAGCAGTCCAGCCAGTGTGCCCAGGGGCGGTTACAGACGCGAGACATGCTGAGTTCTCACCAGGGACATGTCAGGAGCTTTGCTGGAGGGATAGGAAGCCAGTCTGTGACCCAAAAAATATCACTCCATGATCGGCCTAATTTCTGTGCTGATGTAGTAAACATCTAACTGCTCAAGGGATAAATATGAATTAATCTTATGAGTCCTTATGTTTGTGAAGTTCAAGATCATCAGAGATAGAAGGTCATAAAGCTAAGATTTCTGCTGCTCCTCTCCAGTTGTTAACTCTATCTCGGGAGGACACTGCCATATTGCATTTTTAGGAAAATGTCACAGGTGTTTTTATTCACTTCCAAATTGCTTTGTGAAATGATTCCCTGTTATAGATTCCCGAACCAGACAGGCCAGCGATGGCTTCAGGACATGCCTTCACCCTCTGCTTCTCTCTTGCAGGAGTCTATCAGTGATTTCTACTGGTATTATTCTGGGAAAGATGTCATTGACGAGCAAGGACAGCGGAATTTCTCCAAAGCCATTCAAGTGGCCAAACAAGTCTTTAACACGCTCACCGAGTATATTCAGGTAAACATTTACACATTTCTGCTATTTCAAGAGAGAAGGAAAGAAAAAGAGTCAGCTGGTTAGCCTGGAATTCCATGGAAAATTGCAGCATGCCGCAGGTATTCCTCCGCCACCGTCCCATTTCTGATGGGCCTCGTCTGTAGACGCTTAGCCAGATCAGGCTGAGTAACAAGACTAGGCTGAGATGTGAGTTTATACGGTATGAACTTGCTTTGCCCTTTGGCAGGCTGAGACATCGTTCACTCCTTGGCGGCAGGAACCACAGTGAGGGTGCTGGCCTGCCCAGGGCCTGCTGTGTGCAGCGCACTCTCAGCGAGTGTTGCGAGTGGGCGGGCATTAGTCCCACCCTTATAGTATTCCAGTAAAAGCGGGGAGGAATTTTCACAGAAACTTTGTGACAAAGAGACTAGTAGTTAATAACCTCACCTTAGTGTGTGTGTGTATATATATGTGTGTGTAATTATGTAACATAATCATGTATGATATATTAGAGGGAAAATTCTATTTTAAACATTGGTTTATTTCATATTCTCTTCAGGCCAAATTTGTCTTAACCTAGAGATTTTGAAAAGATTTTATAAAATTGTGTTTTTTTCCAAGCAGCAGAACTTTGCGGTTTCCTGGAAGGCCAGCCCGTCTTCTTTCCCTTCTGTCTTCTGTCTGCACGGACAGTAGCACTCTGGATCGGGGAGCCGCAGGGTTGCAATGCCATGTGCCAGTCCTAAACAGGAGGACGCGGTTTACAGATTGCTTCCTTAGACTAAACATAACCTTGTTGGGGGGAGTTACGTAAAAATAGCGGACCGTGTCCTGGAGGTGGCACAGGTTCGGGCACTACCGGGCGACGGACTGAGGAAGAGCTCCGCACGGGGAGGGAGGGCAGGTGGACCGTGGTCCTGCCTCGCAGGCGGCTCGCTTGTTCTGTTCTCTCCCTGGGCAGAGAACAGGATCCCAGTTTCAGCATTACAAGACGGAAAAGCCACACAGGATAATTCTAATAATTTTTCTTTAGGCCAGATCACAGTGAATTTTAAATCAGTTTCAGTTCACTCCTGTTCCTGTTTCCTTATCGCCCCTGGCGTGCATTATTGCCTTAATATTCTCATCTCTGTCTAGAAACATATTATTCACATTCAGTGTGAATTGTCCTGATTTAGTAAGATCAACTGATGACACTATCAAGTCAGCGAATTTTACAGAAACAGGAAAATGGTTTCTAGATAATAAATGAGACTTGAATGCCTATTAAGCGTGGGCTTTCTTAATTCCTAACATAAGTCAGATTCCTGAATTTATATAAAACTACAAGCATCCATTAATGTTTCACTATACGCAAAATTATTTTAACTTGTTTGTATGAACATGCAAGAGATAGCAGGTAAAGGAATATGGCTTATTATGGCTCATTTATTTTTTAACTTTTCATTCCTTGTTTATAAGATATTTTATATAAATTAATCATTTCTGAAGTACATATTTTAATGAAAACTTATTTTGGAATAATTTTGGCTCTCCAGAAAAGTTGCAAAGACAGTACAAAGAGCTTCCATATACAATTCACCCAGCTCCCCCAACACCAACATCTGTGTAGCCAGACGCACCCGGTCGCTGGACTGCACTCAGTGACCCGGTGCCACCTGGACCGTGAACCACAGGGAAGCTGTGGAGGTCCGTGGCTCTGCAGCCAGAGCCTCCCTCACAGCCAGATGGGCCAGCAGTCACGGTGAAGGCACCACGGCCGGGCCCACCGGGTGGGCTGAGTGCACGCCCTTGAGGTCCCAGCAGCCTGATTCCTCCTCAGCACTCGCTCCTCAGATTGCCCTGCGGGCTCTGTCTTTACCAGTCTCTGTCACTTTGTCACCAGCGGAGTCTCACTGCAGGGGTAGTCAGTGTCACGGTCACTCTACTCTTGTCCACTGTGAAGCCCGCCGAGGTCAGGCTGACCTGGGGAGTGGGGGGCAGCAGGGTGACCTGGGCTGCCCCTCCTCCCTGACCCAGGGTCAGCCTCAGGCTTCCTGGGTGGTACCTGTGGGAAGGGATGTCTCTCTCCAGGGACCTGAAAGTCAGGACCTCCCGGACCTGCCCCTGAGTGCGTCCAGGGCCTGGAAATGCCTCTCTTCAGACACAGTTTCAGATCTTTCCACAGACTCCGCATCTGGTGCCAGTCTGCCTTGGAATTGCATCATCCTTTCAGGCAGTCCTCTGGGGCAATGTTTGGGCCAGGTTGCTCCCTCCTTTCCAGGTAGCTCAGAAAAGAAACATCTTTTTTTTGTAACTGTGTCTTTTACACAGTCTCATAACAGACCTTACACACCCAGCTTGGTCTTGCGCAGCCTCCTCTGTCCGCAGACCGGGTCCGGAGAAGCAGCCTGCCCCCTACAGGGCAGGGGGTGGCGGGGAGGGGGACCTGCCCGAGGCCTCTCTCCAGCTTCTGCCCCGGCAGCCTCAGCCCCTCTAGCCTTGGGGAGGGGGACCTGCTGGGTCCCCATTTGCTGGCCCTTTGGCCCAGCTGCAGGCCGCGGCAGAGTTCCAGGTTCCAACAGGTTCCAACGTCAGCATCTCAGCCGTGCTGTCACCTCTTCCAGTCACTGTTTCTAGAGCAATCTCTGAAGTCTTAACGCTCTCTCTAATTCAAACTTAATATGAGTCATTTGTATAAAGGAATGAATAAATTGAAAATTAAGAACTCTCTTGTATATCTGCTTTTTAAAAAAAATGAAATCCCTGTTACTTATTTTTCTGGTTGATGTGGATATGTTTACAAAACTTAGAGGTATACAATTTTCTTGAAAAGTAAAACTAGAAGTTGTCTGCATGCAAACCCTGTGCCCACTGCATCGTGGCCTCCACTGCTCGTGACCTCAGGGCGGGGGCGGAAGCCTGGAGGGCACAGTCAGGTTCCCATGGATTGTCTCAGGCTCTGGGTTTGTCAAGCTAATAACTAATGTTGACGTAAGAAACATCCAAACCTGTAGGAAAATTTTATGAGTTTATTTGAAGAAAACAGACGACGTCGGCTCAGGAGCTTGGTCTCATGCTCTGGAGAATACCGGTTTTGCAGGGGTTTTAATGCATTTGGAATTAAGGAGGGAAGGGGAGGAAGAGCGCATGGAGGTGGGAGAAAGAGAGGCAGGGGTTGGGTTGCAGGGCAGCGAAGATTCTGGGCTGTTGAGCCTCAGAGGCGTCTGGAAAGAGGACCCCTCCTGGCCTTTCAAAGGTGTGTTCACCTGGACCCAAGAATGGACAATGGACGGGCTGGCCTGAGGGGAAGAGGAGCCTTTTACCAAAGAAATCCCCGGCCTGGGGCGTGACTCCGCGCCAGGACCTGCCCAGTCAGAGATTTACGATGGGATCCCCTGTGAGGCTACTTTCTGATGCTGACGGTGTCAGCTTTGTCACAGAACCCCTGTTTCCACCCATACTAGCTGTCAATCTTTTGGGCTGCCCATGGGCGTGTGGCTGGCAGAGCAGCTGTGCCGCGAAGAACGCACTGACGAGCACCATCTCTCTGTGCCTGAGCTTCGCAAGGGCCACCGTGCCATAGAGAGAAGTGCTGACCTCGTTCCACACGTGACTCAGGTTCTTCCCAGACAAGGAGACACACGCTGACCGACGTGACCGAGCAGCTCTCCCCTTCTCTAAATAGGAGAACCCAGAGCCAGACAAAAGTGAAATCATTCACCATTTTTGTCAGTGTTTTATGATTTATACTGAAACAACATGAAAATCCTTGAGAAACTCTTTGGGATTTATTATATTAAACATTTTGAAGGAGAGTGTGAGTATCTCCTGAGGGAACTGTTCCCTTTTCACTGCTCGTCTTTCCCTCGTTTCGGGTTCTCTTTTCAGGTGACTTGTTGGTGATTAGATACGCTGCTGTCCCCTAGTGTTGGGAAGCCCCCGTCAGCACGGGGCTCTCAGGAGTGACGCTGTCGCTGTGTTTCCCCGCAGGGCCCCTGCACCGGCAACCAGCAGAGCCTGGCCCACAGCAGGCTCTGGGACGCTGTCGTGGGCTTCCTCCACGTGTTCGCCCACATGCAGATGAAGCTGTCGCAGGTAGGGCCGCCGCCTTCCGCCGCCCTGAGCCACGACGCGGACGCGGCGATCCTGGGCGAACCAAGCACGCTGCCTCTGTTTGAATGTAGCCTTTCTTAGATGGCTTCCCTACACTTTTCATTCTCCATTACAGAAAATGTCTTAAAATAATTTCATGCAAGCTGAGTATAGAGGTTATTCAAATTTGAGAACAAAAGATCTTAGAGACTTGAATATATAGGGACATAAAGGAGTTTAGTCCCATTTTACGTTTAGTCCCTTCATAAGACTTGCTCCCCCGTGATCACTCCTGGAAGGCCCTCCTCCCTTCAGACGACAGGAGCGGGGGGAAGATTTTAGATGTGCTGCAAGTCCCTTGTTGAAGGGGCAGGATTTTCTTTCAGGGTCTAAATAAGCAGCTGTTCTCAATCAATGGCTTTCACTTACTAGTCGGAAATTTAACTTCGTGAAAGCCAAAGAGAAAAAAATCGCTACAAAGATAAGATTGTCCACCGCATTTTAATGTTAATTTGAGAACGCATATTGAAAATATCAGCATGGTTTTCTCACCCCTGCATCTATTTCATTTGAAGCTAAGAGACACACAAATAGAAACATTCTTACAGTAAGTCCTGAGTAATGTGTTCCTTTGCAGCGGTGAGTTTTGCCGGGTGTCCTGAGAGCTGATGAATCGGTCAGGGCATGGGCACTGCCAGGTGTCAGGTGGAGGGAAGAATGCTGGGTCCAAAGTGAGAACATTGCCCCTCACATGTCCTCTGAGTGGGCGCACCCACTGTGTCCCCCGACGCCAAGTCTCCTTTCCTCTGCTGAGTGGGGCCCCTCACACCCGCACCCGCCCTGCAGCAGGAGCAAAGCATCAGAGACCAGCAAACTGGGCTGATTGAAGTGGTCAGGACGGACAACCCGTGTAAGCTCAGCTCCCCTGGGATGTGTACTTACAGTAAGGGGAGAGTGGGGGGGGGCAGGGGCCCGTGCGGCAGGGAGTGTGAAGTTTCCCAGGGTCGGCCCCTGGGAGTGGGGCTGGGCCAGCTGAGCCACCTCGACGGCAGTTGCAGAAGCTGGGTTCCCATCCGCCACAGAGCCCGAGGGACAGCCCTGTTCTCTGGTGCTGGCTGCACAAGCAGCAGATTTTTGGCAGCCGTGAGCTTTCTCTGACAGGCCTTTGGAGCAGGCTCGGCCGTCCCGGGGCGCGGCCTCAGGCTGGCGGCGCTGGGTCAGTGCTACCCACGCCTCTAGAGGCCGACCTGGAGGAGAGGCCCCACGGGAGTCGGGTCCGAGGGAACCCTGTCACCGTCCGGCTCTGTGCTCACAAGACAGTTCTCATTCAGATGCATTTCCACGCTTTTTGACATCTGGTGCCCACTCACTGCCACTCAGTTTTGGGGACATCGTCAAGGTCACAGCTGTTTAGAAGGAAAACGTCTTGTTCTTCCAGCAACACAGAAACGTAGCTTCCTGGGCGGCACACCCTGTGGGGTTGTAACATAGATGTAAGCGCGCCCCGCACCTCCAGGCCCTGGATCCGAGCTCAGTGGTGTTCAGACGCGGCGTATCTATGTTAAGTAATGTATTCATGGTGAAAAAAACCAGAACATTTTAACAGAAGTATCAGAAAGCTTAATACAATTGATAAGTAAGATACATTGTACACTATGAGTGTAGGTATCACTTGTACATTTTTGGTTTGACTATGTAAGTTTATCTCATATCTTATATCTTTTATATGTCTTTTTTTCCTGGATAAATTAACTTTTACAAAACATACATCATCTTTGTATAACACGTTAGAAAGAAGAAAAAACAAGGGCCGTACAGACTTTCCAGGTAACAGAGGAGTCTCACGTGCAGAGAGACGCCCTGCGTCCTGCCGGCCACGGCCGCAGCCCGCCCCACCCCGCCCCGCCCCCGCGCTCCTGTGGGGCCTGCCGCTGGGCACGTGACCACTTCAGTGGACGGGGGTGGCATCACCTGTAAATGCTCTAGTGCTGAGGTCATATTTTTAATAAGCGACATGCTCACACCTGGCTTTTCCTCTGTCGCTGCGGAGCGGCTACTACGGCAGAGCAGTGCTCTCCACGGGAAGGCTGACGTTCGCGGAGTTTCCCCATTCTGTCTCAAATGCGATATGTTAATATTTTCAGGATTCCAGTCAAATTGAGCTTTTGAAAGAACTCATGGACCTTCAGAAGGATATGGTGGTCATGTTGCTGTCCATGTTAGAAGGTAGTTTTGACTTCCATTTTCATTTATGTGTAAATCTTTATTTATACATATCCAAGTTGCCTTTATTTTTTTCAAGGATCCACATGTCAGCAGGCTGCAAAGAATCAAACTTGCCCACTGAGATGCGACAGCTGCCTGGATTTACTGGGGGCTTTATTATCTTTTCTCAAGTTAGTCTTTAGAAAAGGGATGCCCTATGTGTCCCAGTTTAGTATCTGGAATGAAAACTGTAGCATTCACAGCACCACTTTTCTTTTCGGGGTGCTACCCTAAAGAGGCCGCGCTCCGCAGGAGGCAGGGAAAGGTGCTGTTCGTCATCGGGGGGTGCGGTGCAGACAGACACGTGGGCGAACTGCAGCCTGCGGTTGCTGCGCTGAGCGGAGGGCGGGAGTCCCCGGGTCCAGGGCGCTGCGCCCACGGGGGCAGCCCCGCCCTCCCCTCCGCAAGCCTCTCTCGGTTTTTCTCCCTCTTTTCTTTGCTGCCGCACTTCGCTCTGAATCAGGCAGTAGTGGCCCTGACTCAGGCTTGGCCCCGGCTGCCGCACCGCGCGCGCCTCCCTGCTCTCCCACGGCCTGGCGCCAGAGCCTCGGCCGAGGCCTCCTCCCAGTTCCGTTTCCTCTGTGAGGCAGACTGAAGTGGAGGTTCAGTGGGAGCTTACGAACACGGCCACAGCAACTGAAAAGATGTGTGCCTTGCTGTGGCCCGCCCTGCCCTAACGTGGGGCTCTGGCTGCGGGGGCAGCCCCGCCCTGTGCGGCGGCGCTGGGCCCGGACTCGCAGAGGAGCGCTCGCGCGAGCCCTGTGGGCAGCGGCTGCCTTACTGCCCCAGCACAGGGTCCCTCGCCCTTCCATTCAAATGTCCGTCCAAGTAAGAACAATAACCAGGACAGCAGCGGCAACCGTAGCCCCGACAACTTCAAGTAAGCCTCTTAGAATGTGCCAGCTCCTGGTTTAAGTGCTTTTTTCACCTAAATACCAGGTTTTGGGTCTGATAGCACCGCCTTGCTTTTGCACGAGGGTGGACCCGCAGGGGAGAGAGGCCAAGCGGTCGTCCGGGCGGCTGGCTGGCAGGTGCCGGGCCTGGGTGCTGCCCTGTGCGGCTTGCAGGCCACGGTGGTCGCCCCTCTCTGGGGCGCTGAGACTTCTCGCTGCGCAGCCTTCTCCTGTAGTCTTCTGTGTTACATGGCTCACTTGGTTCCACGGCTCTGTAACTTAGGGTAAGATCTAACCTTCTGGAGCCTCCCAGCCACCTGCCACTTCCTCACTGTGGATGTTCTGGGCCGTGAAGAGGTGCAGGCAGGGGCTTTGCCTCTCACATCAGAGGGGCATGCAGCTTACTCTCTGGGGACCTGTTTGGGGACATTAATTTACTGTGCTAAGCCTCAGTTGCCTCAATAGTAACATCAGAGTGAATGAAAGGTGCCTGCCTTATAGACACGTGAATGTTAACCCAGGTGTCATCTATGACAAACAATTTTTCAGCCCTTAAGTTCTGTGTAAATGCTCATTTTTATTATTAGCATGAGACTGGATTTCGGTGTATGGTGCTAGGATATAAATGTTTGCTCATTTTCTTTATCCTAAAACATCTGGGTTTTTTTTTTTTGACCAGTTTGAGGGTAAAAGCCACCTTTGGTTCACAGACTCTATGTGTGTTAGTCTAATTACTTTGTAAATACGGTTTGCATGTGTTTCCGCAATCACAGTAATTCCCTAAATTTCCCTGAGACTTCACGCAGATGAACAGGCACCGCCCTTGAATCAGGGGTCACATAGGCCTGTGTGGCTGTTTTTGCTGCAAACACTGGTTTTACCAGGAGCGCTCCTTCTGATCACGTGCCATTCTCTGCCACCAGGTAACGTTGTCAACGGAACCATCGGCAAGCAGATGGTCGACATGCTCGTGGAGTCTTCCAACAACGTGGAGATGATTCTCAAATTCTTCAACATGTTCTTAAAACTGAAGGACCTGACATCTTCTGATACATTTAAGGAATACGACCCTGATGGCAAGGGGGTCATTTCCAAGAGGGATTTCCACAAAGCCATGGAAAGCCATAAGCACTACACGCCATCAGAAACCGAGTTCCTTCTGTCCTGTGCGGAAACAGATGAAAATGAAACCCTGGACTATGAGGAATTTGTCAAACGGTTCCATGAACCTGCGAAGGACATCAGCTTCAACGTCGCCGTCCTGCTGACCAACCTCTCAGAGCACATGCCCAATGACACACGGCTGCAGACCTTCCTGGAACTGGCGGACAGCGTGCTCAATTACTTCCAGCCCTTCCTGGGCCGCATCGAGATCATGGGCAGTGCCAAGCGCATCGAGAGGGTTTACTTCGAGATCAGCGAGTCCAGCCGGACTCAGTGGGAGAAGCCCCAGGTCAAGGAGTCCAAAAGGCAGTTCATTTTCGACGTGGTCAACGAGGGTGGCGAGAAGGAGAAGATGGAGCTCTTCGTGAACTTCTGCGAGGACACCATATTTGAGATGCAGCTGGCGGCTCAGATCTCAGAGTCGGACCTGAACGAGCGGTCAGCCAGCAAAGAAGAGAGCGAGAAGGAGCGGCCGGAGGAGCAGGCCCCGGGGATGGGCTTCTTCTCCATCCTGACCGTCCAGGCAGCCCTGCTGGCCCTCAGGTACAACCTCCTGACCCTCCTGCGCATGCTCAGCCTGAAGAGCCTGAAGAAGCAGATGAAGAAGGTGAAGAAGATGACACTGAGGGACATGGTCGCGGCCCTCTTCTCCTCCTACTGGGGCGTCCTGACGAGCCTCGCCCACTTCGTGGCCAGCGTGCTCCGCGGCTTCTCCCGCGTTGTGGGCAGTCTGCTCCTGGGGGGCAGCCTGGTGGAAGGGGCCAAGAAGATGCGAGTGGCAGAGCTCCTAGCAAACATGCCAGACCCCACGCAGGACGAGGTGAGGGGCGACGGGGAAGAAGCCGAGAGGAGGCCCCTGGAGGCTGCCCTGCCTTCGGAGGACCTTGCAGACCTGAAGGAGCTGACAGAGGAAAGTGACCTTCTCTCAGACATATTTGGCTTGGACCTGAAGAGAGAAGGAGGGCAGTACAAACTCATTCCTCACAATCCGAATGCGGGCCTCAGCGACCTCATGAGCAACCCTGTGCCCCTTCCCGAGGTGCCAGAAAAGCTTCAGGTGAGTTGCTTCAGAGCCACAGTGGCTCTTGGCCCTGGGGCCCATGTGGTAAGCTCCCCGTGGGACCTGAGTCTCCACAGAGGATTGCCTGGCTTTTTTCAGCAGGGCCAGCCTTTGAAGATTCTCTACAAGTTATTGAATTATCTTAAACTACTAAGTGTGAAGGCAGGTCCTCACCCAAGTGACAGTGGGAAAGGAAATGGGCATCCCACCCCCAGGCATTTTATGAGTGTTTGCTGCGTGCCTGACCCTGGGTACCCAAGGGAACCAAGAGAAATGGAGGCTGTGTCCAGTGCTTTCAAAATGCCCGAAAGCGTTATTAGAGAAAGCAAACATGACGAAACTAGACAACTATTAAGTTAACTGGCATAAGCCGTAGACAGTAGAGGTCATGTTCGTGGAGCATGGGAGGCCCGTGTAGTTTGGGCAGCAGTTAGAGGAGACCCAAGAAGTGGGGCTTAGGTGGCCTTGAAGGGTTGAGTGAGATGTGAGCAGGTGAATGAGGTGAGGGCAGCGTTTCCTCAATGAGTGGGAGGGCAAAGGCGCCTGGGGAGTCGCACCTACTGCCGTGGGAGGTAGCTCAGGGGGAGCCTGGGGCGCTAGGCCACATAGAGGGCACCTGGGCACGGGGACCCCTAAACACGTCCACAGGTGATGTGTGACCTGGTTTTCTTTTCCCCATTGACTTTCAAGGAACAGGAGGTGAAAGAGGAGGACAAGGAAGAAAAAGAAGAAAACAAATCAGAACCTGAAAAAGCTGAGTACGTGTGGTTTCTGGTACTTTCTTTTGTCCCTTGTACTCACTCTTTGGGGGACAGATTATAAGCCTTCTGTTGTCTCTGGGGACAGGCTCAGCATGAGGACTCCAGTGCTGGAGGAATTAGTGTGGGCGCTGCTGGCGCGGGCTCTGGGCCGCCTTGTCCTCCGGTCCCATCCGACCGTGTGTCTGTCCCGCAGTGGTTCCCTGCGATGCTCACAGCCGGCCGGCTGTGGGGGGCTCGGTTCTCATTTAACACTTACTGTGCGTGTGACTCTGTCCTCAGAAAGGCAGGCAGAGACACACTTTCTGAAGGCTGTTGCTGAGTGTCCTTGGGGAGTGTGTCCCTCAGAGCTAGTCCCAGGGCCATATGCACAAAACCCACCGATCCCTGGGCCTGCAGCAGAGATGCTGACTCAGAGGTCTGGCGTGGGCCTCCGGACCCTCCCTTCCATCAGCACCTGGGGCACAGCTGGGAGCACAGCCAGAGGCCCCGGGGAGCTGGAGGGGAGTGGCAGAGGGGGACCCCTTCCTCCCAGCAGCAGCCGGTTGTTTCAGCTGATACACCTTCTCCCAAGTTTAAATGATTTTACATGCACAGTTTTAAAAATTGGGAAAATCCGACTTGTAATCTCAGTCATATTTGGCTTGGACCTGAAGAGAGAAGGCGGGCAGGGCACACTCATTCCTCACAACCTGAAAGCGGGCTGCAGCAGCCTCACGAGCAGCCCTGTCCCCGTTCCTGATGGTGCCAGTAAGTGCACACGGCGCTTTATTTTTTCCCCACTCTGTTTTCTCTGTCCGTGTCTTGCAGTCGGCACTGCTTATTGTCACGGATCTGCACTGTTGGGCCAGCTGTGAGCATAGCCAAGTAGATGATCATTGCGGGATGCAGACATGTGACAGGGCAAACCGTCATTTTCTGTGCAATCATTTAATGTTAAAAACACTGTTAGATAAACCACACACAGAAGTGGTTAAGTGTGAATGATATATACGTGGGTTTTGAATACACAAGTACACATATACATAAATACACTTTCAGGGAGGACTGATATTTTGCAGCTAAAGGGGTTTAGGGTATCAAATTTTAGTGTGTCTAATTTCACTATTGTCTGAATAATTAGTATACTAACACCCTTTATACATGTGTACAGCCAAATGCATCTGTCTTCGATGTTAAGTCCTAAAGGCTAGTCAGTTTTAAAGGTTGACCATTAAAATCATATTTTAAAAGTAAGGTATGTTGGAAGTTTTCATTGCTATTGTCTTTTCAGTGCAATGTTTTATAGCACAATTGGAAGGAAATGTGCTATGTTTAGATACAAAGACACTTCCAGCCTCTGAAATACCCTTTAGACTTGAACTTCACAGAATTATCCATCTGCAGGAGGCCAACCCTCAATTCTGAAATTCCGAGTGCTCATTGGAAGAGAAAGTTTTCAACAGTGACACTATGATTTAAATATTGTTCCTTTGTCTGTTTTGGCACACAACCTGTTTGTCCTTTCCTTCCTGGATGGCTTATGGTCATTTGTGTATTCACAGTGGAGAGGATGGAGAGAAAGAGGAAAAGGCAAAGGACGAGAAGGGCAGGCAGAAGCTCCGGTCGATCCACACACACAGATATGGAGAGCCAGAGGCTCCCGAGTCGGCGTTCTGGAAGAAAATCATAGCTTATCAACAGAAGCTTCTAGTAAGCCATTTTGGAATGAATATGATGCACTGTGGGATGGGATAACTTAGGCTCAGCAAATATCCATTACCCTTGAGTGGTAATCAGGGAACCGAGTCAGCCCAGCAAGTTCGCTCAGTTTGCTCGCTGTGGTCAAACCCACGGCCTCTGTGCACAGTCAGGTAGCCCGAAACCCCTGGCTGAGTGCCTGCATCCAGAGCCCGCCAGGGACTTTAGGACAAACCTGGGCACGCACTGCGAGGCCCACTGCAGGGCGGCGGAGGCTCCGTCACACCGTCCAGCACGGCCCAGAGGCCTCAGGGCGTAACTGTTCGGCCTGCTGTTCCTGAGTGGGCTACTCAGTATTTCCGGGACATCGCCCTTTTATTAAAAGTTCAGTTATAAAAATATTAATGCAGTGGGACAACTCTGCACTGATAATGAGAAGGTCTAGGCAAAATGATTCTTTAAACAGAAATAAGTTTAAAAAATGAGAGAAGAGAGAGACGATAGGTCTTTCTGTAGTGTCCTACACATTTTTCAGAAATGCTCCCCAGTTCATAAAATACACTTATATTTGAGAAACAAAGAAAGAAGTTGTACTTCTCTATCTCTATTCTATCTCTATTCATATTCATTGAGGATGGAATTCATAAAAAATTAATTTGAAAGGCCATTGGTATGTGTATATGTATAATTCAAAGTAGAGCAAAGTAGGTTTGCAGTTTGTATGGAAGATAATACAATAATTAATAAATAATACAAGAACAAACTCCATGTTTTGCCCACTCACAACTATAAACCACTTTTGCCCCACCCTGTATTATACATGATTTTTAGAGCAGGAAATTTTGGATAAGTGTGTAGAATAAACCTACAAGAGGTACTGACCAATAAAATCAGACCTGGAAATTAAGAACAGCCCTCCTTATGATAAAGCCATTGGAAAGGCTAAATCATATTTGGTGTTTTATAGCCTTTGGAAATAAAAAATACACAGTTAAGAAACTCACTGTACTTTAGAACTTCACCTGTGAGGGGAGTGGACCGACCCAGCAATTAAATATTTAACTGCTTATGTATACACATATATGACATATTTTATATAATTTATGCAGCTATATGTATTTAATTGATAGTTTTAACTAGGTTTTCTTAGCTGCCTTGCACTTGCTCTGTATGGGGGGACGCAGAGGGCACCGAGCCCGGCGCACTCGAGGCAGCCCCGCGTGACTGCTGGTGCCGGGGCTGTGGTGGCGGCCGTGCCGCTGGCAAGGGCAGGCGGAGTGCGCCAGGAGGTTCCGTGGGCTGCGTGCTGCCCGAGGACTGTGCTCAGCCACAGCGTGGGAAGCGTCTCTCTGCCTCAAGGGTCGCAGGCTTGCTCTCTGCACTGTGACTTTCTCTGCTCACGAGTTTGCCACGGTCACCTCAGGCCTCCCCAGGCCCTGTGTCTCAGAACTCTGTCACCTCCCAGCTCAGACAACCAAGGTGACTAACTCAGCCTCTCTGGCCCAGTTCCACCTTCCAGGGTGAACTGAGGTGACTGACCCAGTTTGGGTTGGTGGCCCACTTGGTCCAGTCAGCTGTGGCAGTAAAGGCTGTCATGTGTGGGAAATGACACTACCAACATGGCATGTGAGCCCGGAGAGGCCATGAGAGGTGTTGTCCCTGTGCTGTGGCCGATGACGCAGAGCCCCTGGCACGTGCGTGGGGTGCCCGGCGGACATCCCACTCGCTGTGAGAACAAACACTGCGCTCTCCCCCAGCCCCCTCCGCAGACTCCGCTCCTCTCTAGGTGCGCTACCCGCACTTCGCAGGCGGGGAGGAGGTGCTACAATGCGGTTAAGTGGCCCCTGCAAGTCCCCCGCGAGGCCGCAGATGGCACAGGCCCCAGCAGAGGCCCGCGAAGCTCCACCTCGCCGCCCTCTGACCCCGGCCTCGCCCACAGTCCCCTGCCTCGCAGGCAGGCACCCAGGATCACCCTGAGCGCAGGACTTGGCCCTGCGTGCTTGTGCTCCCTGACCCACCGCCTGCCCCGCCTCCCCGATTGTTCACTTGACTTGCGCCCTGTGGCATTCAGGCCTCGGCTCAAGGGCTGCCACAGATGAGCCTTCCCGGACCACCTGTGTGGGTCGGACGCCTCCCAAGCCCTGGCCTGGCGGTTCTTCTCGTGGCGTTCAGCATTCCCTGGAGCTATGTTTTATCTGTGGGGGTGCCTCTTTATCATTTGTCTCCTCTGTGGGGGCCCAGGTTTTCTAATTCAGTGTTACGTTCACAGTGTCAAGAATGGTGCTCGATACACACTAGATGCCCAGGAAGTAGTTTTGGGTAATGAATGAATGCTTCGTCTGATTGTCTGCAAGTTTCAAGGCTCTTGATTCAGTGACCTTTTATTTTTTTCACCCTCAGAACTATTTTGCTCGCAACTTTTACAACATGAGAATGTTAGCCTTATTTGTCGCGTTTGCAATCAATTTCATCTTGCTTTTTTATAAGGTACGTACATCTTAGTCTTTTAACGACTAGTACGATGCTACCAAATTGAATATAAAGATTTCACGACCCACTAGCAGGCACATCTAAACCTATTCTAAAATGTATTTTGATGGAAGAGGAACCGAAAGCTCAGGCCTGCCCCTGACCGTGAAGCAGGGCAGGTGCGTCCCTCCCCACCCCATGAGCGTCCCAGGGGCAGGGGTGGCCTGCAGTGCCCTGACCCATCTGGCTCAGTGTGCTACATTCACTTCCTTTGGTCGCTGAGAAGGCGGCTCAGCCACCTCATTTGTCCCTCGTGCGCCCATCTCCCTAACTCTTGGTCAGTTAGAGGCAGGGCCCAGGTGGGCCCGTTATTTGCCACTGGGATGGGAGAGCCGCACCTTTGTTGTGCCAGGGCTTCCTGTCCAGCTAAGTCGGATAAGGCTGGGTTTCCGTTGTTTCTTGTTTGCACTGTTATTGTAGAGGAAGCGAACTGACTGCACTTTAAATGGTTTGAATCAGGTGTCCACTTCTTCTGTGGTTGAAGGAAAGGAGCTCCCCGCTCGTAGTGCAAGTGAAAACGCCAGAGTCAGCGTCCTGGACAGCAGCCCTGAGGGCAGCCCTGAGGGCGGCCCAGACAGCGCTGCAGCCGTGCACTACGTCCTGGAGGAGAGCAGCGGCTACATGGAGCCCACCCTGCGCATCCTGGCCGTGCTGCACACCGTCATCTCCTTTTTCTGCATCATCGGCTACTACTGCCTGAAAGTAAGACAGCAGGAGGCGGCCCCATGGTCGGTCTGTGCGCGCACGTCTGCTGCAGGCTGGACCTCTGGGGGAGCGGGTTCTGAGGTGGAACTTACATGCACGGAGTTTCTTTGGGAATGTTCCAAAAATCAGCCCCTGGGGGACAACAGAAAGGAGCTGGGGGCCGCAGAGGGAAACGGAGGTACAGGGCAGACACACAGGGCAGGCACAGGCTTCGCTCTGGTGCCATGACAACAGTGGGGCCTGGCTTTGTGGACTCCACACGGACAGGCACTGGCTGCGGGCCGCCTTGGGAAGTGGGGTGGCCTTGGGCGGTGTGACTGTAGCTTACATTGGTAATTGTTTACCTACAACTTGACTCCACAGGAGTGGCCCACTCACTGTGTCTCCTCACAGTGCTCCCATGTATTAGGAGCTACAGAAATACATCGTTCAAACCTAGCAGTCACATTGGTTGTTCTGATATTAGGGATGCATCCGGGGCCATCCTGGGCAGAAACGCTTTCTATTTTGTCTCACTTCCCGAGAAAGCAATGCAGCTGCTCCCAGAACCTCTCCAGGGGGCGATATCATTTGGTGAATGGTGCTCGGAAGGGTGTCTGAGGGCGCAGGGTTGCCCGCTTCCTCTGGAACCTCTTCACCTTTTCATAGCCAGACACATCTTCACTGCAGTGCCTCTCTTCACTGACCCTGCCTCTGCTGTGCAGCTTCTAGAACTTCTGAAAAACCAGGGCCCAGCGTAGAAGACCAGACCATAAAGTCTCTTCAGAAACTCCTCTCTACTTCTCTTCTCCCCTCGTTTTATGGGGGATATTCTGGGGTGCTTCCAGAATGTCTGCATCTTTCTTGTGTAAAGTCTGCACATATGAAAAGGGAGTATGTTCTGGAGACATCTTGAAAAACAGACAAAGACTTTTCCTGATGTTAAAATTAAAATTTATTTCAAATTAGCATGTGGGCATGCTGAACAAGGGCGTATAAAAGAGATTCCTCAAAGGAAACAGCATTTTTTAAAAGCAGGCACTCTGGAACCTTAGTAACACTGTTATATTTTATTGCACTCAATTCTGCTGCAATCTCTTGTATGTATTGATAATACGCCAAAGAAAAACAGTTTTGCCTAATCTTTTTCCCTTTAATATTTAAAAGTGACTTCATTAGTGCAATTACCTATGAACTATGTGTGTAAAATCACATGCATATATATAATATTCCTTCTAACTCCTGTTTTTCCAAAACCTCTAGATGCTTCTTTCTGCCTAAAATATAGCTAATGCATTTTCATTCAATTTTTACTTCCCTGGAAGTAAAATGGGAAGTATTTCTTCCCAAAAGCTTTTTTGCAGCAGTAGTGACCACAGGCAATGCCAGTAAATTTAAACTGACTTAATGTTTATTTTTCAAATGTAGGTCCCGCTGGTTATTTTTAAGCGTGAAAAGGAAGTAGCTCGAAAATTGGAATTTGATGGGCTGTATATTACAGAACAGCCTTCAGAAGATGATATTAAAGGCCAGTGGGATAGACTCGTAATCAACACACAGTAAGTAAAGAATATATGAGACATTGCAGTGCTCACAGATTCCAAAACATGAAATACTTGGCTGGAGTTTCCTGTGGCTCTGTTGGAAATTTAGCAGGGTTGATTAATGGGTATATATTCAGCCAAGAAAATCAAAGCGCTCAGCGCTGTCAGCCTCTTGATGGAGGCCATCAGTTTTTGCCATCTGTGTTCTGAATCCCTTAATCAGAAGGGACTTGGAGTGTGTTCCCACAGCCCCAGTGCAACTTTGCCTCCATCACTCAGTGTTCAGAGCAGGGCGCAGCTGGGGCACAGGGCGCAGCCTGGGGCACAGGGCGCAGCCTAGGGCACAGGGCGCAGCCGGGACTCGGAGCCTGTAGCGCAGAGTTGTTTCCTCCTGGAGCACAGAAGAAGCAAAAATTATTCATTAGGGTATGAGGTGTGGCAATAAAAGCAAAGAAATTGAATTTCACACTTTTAATGTATCTACATTATAAACTTCCAGTTGGTGCCATCAAGCAACCTGGCACAAAACTAGCTAAGCATTATGATGTGTACAACAGAAGACAGGAAACACACTCTTCTGTGCACTGATTATTTAGCCTTGGAAGATGACAATCCAAGCTCCTGGTTGCTGTGCCAGGCACGAATCCATCACAAAGTATAATTTCCCACCATTAAAAGTGTTAATGGTGCAGTATTTTTGGAGTAGTTTACAGTACTCAAGAGGGAAATAGCTTCTTTTTATTGTGATTAGTTTTGCTTATTTTTAAAAAGTTATCGTTTCCAGTAAGTTCCAGGTTTTCAAATGGGGGTGATTTGTTTGTGGATGATAGAGTAAATTTTGGCTCTAAATGCTCCGTGTTTGTTTAGCAACTAGCTGTTAACACTATATCAAATCAAGTCTGTCCCTTTCAGCAAGCTCTGTATTAGTCAGGGTGCCAGCGTCAGGCTATGGTTCCACGATCCAAGTTTTCTTGAGGACAACTGGTGCAAATGGGATTTTTTTCACTTCATAGGAAAACAATGACAGATTTTTGGATACTTTAAAGACACTTGACAAAGCAGTCTATATATTGACAATTGACACATTGTAACTTAAAAAACAAAACTGGCTTATTAATAAATATATTCATGTTCTTCTCCCGTTAAATATTAGCCTAGAGCATTTTTGTGAGTTACATGTACATACAGGGTGAGCAAAAGTAGGTGTACCCTTGTGAGAACACAAAATAGAGTTTATTCTTGTATTATTATTTATTATTGTATTTCTATTATTGTATTATGTATTTGTATTACAACTGTAAACCTACTTTTGCCCATCCCTGTATTTATATAGTACTATTTAAAATGATATTCAATACACCAGTGATGTAGAAAAATTACAGGATAAAGTGGATGGAAAACAAATTTATTCTAATTTTCGTAAAAGGAAGAATGTGTTTTCATATTATGTTAAATATGTTGTATATTCCAAACAATATGTTATCATTTCTTAAAATGATACTCTTTACATCTATGCCTTTATATCTTTTAGGTCATTTCCCAACAACTACTGGGACAAATTTGTTAAAAGAAAGGTAATGCTTCTTAGAAGGAGTAAGTTTATTTTTTCCCCCTGAAGTGCAAGGCTGATTTGAATTAATGCGGCTCATGCGCCGAATGAGACCCTGGGGTGCACCTTCCGCCAGTCAGTGTCATTTCACAGTGCAGGAGAGTTGAATGAGAAGTTAAGCACTTGCACACAAGGATCCCCTAGTCTACAGCTACAGAGTAAATAAGGCTCGCTGCATTGCCTATGCTCCGACTCAGGCAATTGAGCGGTGCGCAGCACCCACAGCCACAAAAACTGGTTGGAGTTTTCCTGAGATAGCTTGGGGAACCTAGCAAACTGAAGGCCATTTGCATGAAGACGGCTGATAAATCACCAGGCAGAATCCCTTTTACACTGAAGAAGTTGTTGCCTGGCAACAAGGAACTGCATATGAACGCTGAAGATCTCATTTTTGTGAAGTTTTATTCTTCTGATGCACACTGCTCCACAGGGTGTTAGGAAGACACTGAGACAGCCCTGGCTGGGTGGGCCAGTAGGTTGGAGCGTTGTCCTGTACACCTAAAGGCTGTGGGCTTGATTTCCAGTCAGGGTGCATGCCTGCGTTGCAAGATCGATCCTTGGTTGGGGATGTACAGGAGGCAACGGATTGATGTTTCTCTCTCACATCAATGTTTCTTTCTCTGCCCTGCCCCCCACCCTTCCTCTCTCTCAAAAATCAGTAGACATAGCCTGGGGTGAGGATTACAAAACAACAAAACAAACACAATTGCTCAGAGCTCTGACCTTTAGGGTCAAGGGTCGTCCCCTCCCTTCCTACCACAGGACTTTAATGTAGATCACCTCTTCAATGAAGTGGTGTTGAGGACCAGCGCCTGCACAGTAGAAAGGACTGCGGCCCCCTGCTTTCAAGCCTCTACTCCCCTTGAGCCAAACCGACCCCCCCCACCCTGGTGCCATGAGGGCTGAGTTCCATGGGCACAGTCAGCGGGGCTGGCCACAGGAACCGGTTGGAAAGAGTGGCTCCCCTCTGATTCCACCAGATCAGATCTGTGCTACTCACGCATTGGTCGGTGACAGGCAGCCACATACGTTTTGTAACCAATCTGAGGCCACAAACAGAGCTTGCACTTGAGTGTAAATCAAGTACATTATTGAGCACATTGACTTTTTATTTTAGTAACAAGACTTTCTACATGAAAGAAGAGGTATGTCTGTTGGTTTTTATTTTGGCACAAGTTTTTATCTCTTGTTACCTAGCATTCTGAGTAACACTGAACAACTTCTTAGGCTTTGAAAGAATAATTTTAAAGTAACTGTAAATAGAAAATTAGTTAACAGAAGTTTCTACATGATTAGAGTTTCTCTGAAGGAAACTATATATTTAGAGTCAAATAAATGGATAAATTGTAATTGCAGCTCAGACTGTTCATGGCATTCCTGCCATGGTCCATAGTGTATGCCCCGGGGACTAGGGTGACAACACATTCCACAGAGGACCCCCTCAGATCAGCCTGTTTAGTGCCATAAGAATAATGCAAAACACATTGTTTCAATGAACCTAAATAATCTATGCTCCTAGGCTTTTTATGTTTTCTTCTCATTTACCTCATTGTGCACATTCAGAAAAGGCCAATTTTTATTTCTGCTAATCCTTTCTTTTCATCTACATATTTTTCTTTCATTCACTCTAGTCTTAATTCCCCTCCCCTTTGCCCTTGTTCTCATTTGCTGTGTTTCCCTGTATGCTTGTTCCTTCTTTCCTGCCCACTTTTGCTTCCAATTCTCTTTCCTCCTGCCCTTGGTTACTTTTCCTGCTTCCTCCCATTGTCACTGTTTGGGATGTCTAAGAGCTGAACTGAAAACAGGATACACAGGTAAAGCCAGGCAAACGTGACAGAGAAGCGAGAGGTTGCTACAAATTGATTCTAATGACACACACAGAATCTACACTAGGGGAGAATTAAACTGAGGACCAGAGGACGATGACGGGGCTCCATGGCCAGGTCTTGCTGAAGAACCGCTGCGGCCCCACAGTGTGAGGACGGGAAGTGGAGCGGGGTGGCGCCCGCACTGGAGCCGCCCGCTCTGGAGCCAGCGCCGTCTGTGCGGGCGGTCACTTCTGGGAGCCTGGCTCTGCCCCGGGCTCCCTGATGTCCCCTCGTCCCAAGCTGGGCATCCTTTGGTGTGTTATACATTTCTTTATCGGCAGAATAGGATGCTGATAACACAAAATTTACATATTGTGGCAATCGCATGAGGGAAAGCATGTCAAAGCTTTTAGCATAGCTCCTGGCGCGCGGTACAAATCTGGTAGATGTCTCTACCAAATTTCTCCCGCTTCTTCGCCCACTCACTTCGGCCCACCCTCGTCCTCTCACGTGCCTTCCGCCCTGAGTGGGAAACTTGCTCTTCGGGTAGGTTTTAGTCCCAACGCTGTGAGTTCGCTGAGACCTGGAGCAGGGGGGCGGTCGCACGCCAGCAGGGGGTCTATGGCACCAGTTCGGCGCTGGCAGGGATCTTCGCTTTGGGGTGCGGGGAAGGAGCCAACCTCATTCAAGGCAAAAGACTGAGCTGTGATGCAGCGGGACTGCGAGGACTGCAGGGCTGTGGCTGGAGGCATCCCCGGGCGAGGCCCCGCCCCTGCTAGAGGCTTTGCTGCGCTCTGCTCCGCACAGGTGCCTTCGAGGTGTCATCTTGGGTGTTTCAGCTCCAGCTGGCGAAACAGGGTCTTCAGCCTCCGGTGGGAAGGGAAAACACGGCCTCTGAGCCAGAAGAGAGCTGGCGTGTACCGACAGAACTCTCCACTCCTGGTCCCTGATTGGCCCGTCTTCATGCAAATGAGGACTCCAAATTCTCCCAGTTTGATTGGCCCAAAAGGCACTGTCCTGATTGGTCAGAATGGAGCCTCTCCGATGGGTCAGTTAAGCTGATGGTGTTATGGCTTCGCAGCTGCGATTGGACGGGGAGAGTCGGCTCTATTGATTGAACCAAGATTCCCTGGGCCCCTCTCTAAGGGCTGGCTCCGCGGGCAGAAGCGCAGTGCAGGCGGGCGGGCTCGCTGTGCAGAGGCGGTTGCAGGCATCTTTCTCCCTGAGGTGCAGTTTGCGCGAGAGGCTCCCGTGCAGAAATGGCCGCCAGTGTCTGTTTTTTACTTTGAGCTCAGTTAGCCACCGGGAGCGCTTCTCAGCAGGTATGTTCTTTCTTCGTAGGTCATGCTTGTGTGGATCTTACCTCCTCAGTAGGTACAGCCATAAACTAGATTTTTAAGCGGACTTCAAAATAAGACAAATATATAGTAACCAAAAAATAATTAGATGTTTGTATGCACAGACATAGATGTGCTTCCTTAATGGTTGAGTCTTGCTTTCTTTCTGCCTCCTAGGTGATGGATAAATACGGAGAGTTTTATGGTAGGGACAGGATCAGTGAGTTGCTCGGCATGGACAAAGCGGCTCTGGACTTCAGTGACGCCCGGGAGAAGAAGAAACCGAAGAAAGACAGCTCCCTGTCGGCCGTGTGAGTGTCTCCCTGCTCGGTCCCCAGCGGAAGGGGAAACGCTCTGCAGTCTGAACTGGCCAGAGCCTTGGTTTCCTTCTCAGGGTCAGAGGATTGGAGAGGCGAAAGGCGTGCGGGGTGGACATAGGGCCCGTCCGCTCTGGCTGCTTTGAGCTGTGGAATGACTGGGTTCTTTTCTACGAATTTTTGGAGATGCCTTTTTTGTTATTTACATAAACCAAAAAAAAAAGTTTTTAATTGAATTTGCCTTTTCGATCCTTAAATGCCACTTGAATTAAAGTAAAACGTATGCAAAAATGCAATATACAACTAAATATGCTGATACTTGTTTGAAAAGAAGTTAATTTTCATAAGATTTTAAAAAGAGAACTATATAGCCCTTTTAATAGAAATGTTCAAAGTTCATTTTATTATTATTGTATTTTATTTAAATAGCAAAGACTTTGTATGTCAGAAATACGCTGCTGTATTATTATTTGGAAAGTTTACTTGAAAATTAGAGACTTTCAATATAGTGCTTGCATGAAATAATAATATACTAGAAAGATGTCAACCTGTTGAATTGAACTCGTGAGATTGATTTATACACAAACACACATATACGAGGTCTGTCCAGAGAGTATCCATCCATGTACTATGAAAAATAGAGGTGTTTATTGAAGCTACAATATACAAGAAACAGTGTACATAGGACAATGGTACCTCAGCCCCCTTCAAAGTAGGCACAGTGGGACCTCACAAAGTTTTCCCAATCACCATCAGCTGCCCTGTCATATTTTCCTGAATCTCATCAATAGTCTGAAATCTCTTCCCTTTCGAAAGTGATTTTAGTTCTGGGGAAAGCCAGAAGTCTCCAAGAAGGCACCAAATCTGGGCTGCAGGGGGGCTGAGTCACCTGGGTGACTTGATGTTTTGCAAAAAAACTGCATGAGACGTGATGCATGAGTGGGCATGTTGTGGTGAAACTGCCAACCAATAGCTGCCCATAGCTGCAGCCTTCTGAATCATCTGAATAATTTCTGTGGAGGAATGTTCAAGCTTAAAGCAAAATTTGATGCATATTCGTAACTCTACTTGTCTAGTCATTTTGAATGCTTTGGCCACACAGTTCACATGCTCACTCAACAGCGTCTACGACCCCCACAGACCAGTACAGTGAAGTCGTCATCGTTCACGCATGCACATTCCAGTCCACTCTCCTTAGCTGCCAGGTTACATGATGTTGCACAAACTGTTCTCGTTATATTAACATTTCCTGGACTTTTTCCAGACAGGCGCGCGTGTGCGTGTGTGTGTGTGTAGCTAATTTAAGCAACTAGAATAAATGTAAAGCATACATGCTTTTAAAAATATAATTTCTTATTGTAACACTTAATGACTTAGGAGAATCCTCATAGTCACCTTCCCTTAAAAACCATGTGAGCCTTTCTTATCTGTGTTTATGGTCTCAGTTAGTTGGGGATGCGATAATTATTTTGAAAGGATAGATATTTAGGGTTGTATAGAGCAATATTATTTTGTCTTAGATAAATATCTTAGCTAGCATATAAAAAAGTTTTGGTCAACCTATCTCATTGGTCATATATTTTTTTATTTTTCTGGGAAGTTGTTAGAGCTACTTGGGTCATTCAAATAATGTGCACCCTGTTAAAAAGTAGTTAGACAGGCAAATATCTGACAGAAACTGAATTTAGATCCAAAATATTTCCTGGGTACTTACTTAAAGAAAACAAATCTAGTACTCAAAGACTGTCACTGTGTCTGAGGTGAAATAGGAGACAGTCCTTAGGAGCTAGGGCCTCTGTGTTAGAATGTCACCGAAAACAGGAACTGTGGCAGTCCTTGACTAGGTAGGCCTTCCTACTAACATGTAGATCCCTCATAAGCAACATAGAATTAAGTAATTTTACTGAATTATGTGTTTTCCATAGTCATATTTGTGACTCTAGAAAATAAGTTTGGAAACAAAGTCAAAGGAAAGTTTAGATTGTTTTTTACTGTGAACAAGTAATTCTAAATTAGTGGGATTTTCCACTGTTTTACACAGCAAATGTTTGACCCTTGCAAAGAACCAAGAAATTAACATTGTGTTTATTAACACCTTTACATACAGATAATAAAATGAGAAGCATAAAGATCTAGTGAATGATGTACACTGCCAGGAAAATATTTATGTGTATTGTTCTCTTATAAAAATGTTTAAAAAGATCAAGTTTTAAAAGATCATCTGGTTCCATGTGAACATTATTTTAACATGAACGATTGGATATGGGAAGATCCCTGTATCTCTTTGTGTGTGCATCGTTTATGAAGCGAATCGTGGGGCTTGATGTGTACACACCTGAGCAGCTGGCCAGCTCGCCTCTGGCACGTAGAGTGGCTGCAGCTGCCACAGAGCTGGCCGGCTCCGCACTCTGTGTCTTCATGGAGTGAGAGGGGGCTCCTGTCTGAAAACCATCTAGCAAAACTCCTCAGCTTCTGGCTGACAGCTTTTCCCAGACCCTGCCCTGCGGTCCAGGGACAGCCGTACCCTGATGGCCCAGCTTGGCCACCCCATTCCCACCCAAACAGCCCCACAGCCACACCCGTGTCACAGTGTCACTGTGCACCTTGGAGAGAATATGCTGCTTAGTGATGTTGAGAGCAAACTTGTCACCCTAATATATGGTACGGATCGGACAATAACTAACCATAAGGATAGTTTTTAAATTAAAGCACAAATCTCCCACAGGGAATTCAAACATCCTGATAGAAACCTTTCTTTGGTTTAGGCCACTTCCACGGAGAATAGGCATGTTCTCATGCTAATTGCCCTACTGTTTATTTTTTTATCACCTCCTCCTTTTTAACTTAGTAAAAGCTGTACTTATATTAAAACCCGTTATAAATATTGAAGGAAATTTTAAAATGTTATTTAATAATAAAACTAATTATAGTTCAATGACAAGTTACTTTTCTTACAATAAAAAATCTTAGGCTAAAGTAAATTAAACCTTAACCATTGGGAGAAAAGTCCTAAGGGGTCAGCTGTGATTAGCAACTGATTATTCTAGCACTTACAATTTAAAATTAGCCTCAGTAAAGTAAATGATTAAAGAAGTAAAGACTAAAACAGTTTAGAGAAGCCCTTTAGAAAAATAATATCAATATTATTTTATAGTCTATTGTATCATCTATCATATGTATTACCTAGAATACTGCCCGTAAATCAATTTGGCAACTTCTAAAAAAAATGAAAATTAAAATGTTTTCATATGTGCATTTTAATCTGTAAAAGGCGTGAATAATTATGTTAAAAGTTATTCCTTTCATGTGTTCATTGAGATTTTCAGTGTGTGAAATGATGTGTTTGGTATTGGGGAGCTCACAGATTAGTGAAAGAGGCAGATACACACACCCCCTGAAGGTGGGAAACCCCTGGGGACACAGTGAGGTGCTGTAGGGACGAGGGGAAAGGTCAGTTCCTTCCTGCGCAGTCTCTGCGAAGGTGAGGTTTCTGAACACAAAAGGAAACAACACCAAAATGAAAAGGCCCTTTCACTGGCAAAATCAGTACAGTTGTAAAATAACTGGATGTTTGTGCAGCTGTTTATTAGTTGAAGTAAAAAGTCTGTTGGAATGCAAGTCGGTGAAGAAACTTGGGATGCACACGCTAGCTAACGTAGGACAGTTTCCAGGTGTAACTGTCATGTGCAACGTGAGTTGACCTTATATTTAATGTAGGAAAATAAAAAGATGAAAAAGGACGTTTCTTAAATAAAAGACGACAGGGGTGGCGATGTTTTGTTTCTTTTCGGAGAGCCCTCCCACAGGGACACACTGTCTGCAGGGCTCCCCGCTCCCCAGACGTGGGAGGGAATCTTGTCCTGGGACGGCGCCCTTCCTCACAGGTCAGGGGTCTGCTTCATGTGCATTCCTGCAGCTTCTCCTCCTCTTTCGTTCCAGGCTGAACTCCATCGACGTGAAGTATCAGATGTGGAAGCTCGGGGTCGTCTTCACTGACAACGTAAGCCCCTCTCCCGCAAAGCACAGGCGCCCTGACTGCTGCGGCTGCCGGGCGCCTGCAGATGGGAAGACGTCACTCACTCAAGGTGTTCAAAACTGGCTTGTTTAACACAGAGCCTGGCTGGGAAAGACCATGGAAATACATGACTAAGCCCTTCTCTTGTTCCATTTCTTTCCGTAGCTGAAAGATTAAAACAAGGATATATTTATACAAGAATAGAACTGAGCTGCAGATTTATGTGTCTTTTCACTTGGGTTTCAGTAGGCCATGGCATACATCACGTTTTGTAGATGTGAAAAAAAAAGTTCTAAAAACATTAAAAACTTAGAAACTTTAATTGCGATAAATTTTAGTTTCTCCCAAGTTGAATAAGTATGTTGATCCTTCATTTATCAAAGAGCCTCAGAGCCTATGAAATAAACATAGGGCCCAAGTACATACGCGAGCAAAGTGAAAAAGCTGCTGGCCATGCCCCGCCTACCCAACCCCGCGCTAGCTTGTTACGCACTGTTACAGTTTTGACCCTTAGAATTTTCAGTTTGAATCATTGATACTATGAGTTTCTTGTCCCCATTTGCTGGCTGGTCATTGGAGAGAATGGTGAGATTTGGCTGAATAGGTCAACCAGGAATGTTCGCCCTCAGGTGTCAGCCACCTCCTCTGACCCCCTCAGCTCCCTCACCAGCGCCCCCCCCCCCGCCGCCGCGGATCAGGAGGGTGCCCACCTCCTGTGTTCTGCCTGCCGCTTTCTCCCTCGCACAGCTGCTTTTGTCTTCCAGTCTCACTCTCCTTTTAGCATTGACTCGTGTAGTGAATGTGAGTCCCGTTCTCCTAAAATCTGTGACGCCCCCCACTTCTCCCACTTCCACCGGCCCCCACCGAGCCATGAGCCCGGGGATCTTACCTGACCTGAGAGCTCAAACCCGAGGAACTGCCACCTGTTAATGAGGTGCCGTGCAGCTGGTTTCTTCTCTCATAGTGGAAGCAGTTCCCTGAGTGAAAGGGGAGCCTGACCCTATCATGAGGGTTCTGTAAGTGTGTGGTCGGAGACGGCGAAGCGAAGGCCAATTGCGGCAGAACGCAGTTCCAGAAGCTTTGGTGCTGTCTGCCTTCTGCGTTCTGACGCTCTTGTGCCGTCTTGTCTCCGCAGTCCTTCCTCTACCTTGCCTGGTACATGACCATGTCCATTCTTGGGCACTACAACAACTTTTTTTTTGCTGCTCACCTTCTCGACATTGCTATGGGGTTCAAGACATTGAGAACCATCTTGTCATCAGTAACTCACAATGGCAAGCAGGTAAGAACTTAATTTTTTTATCCTGCAAAACTGAAAGGCAACAATATGCCAACAAAAATAAAACCAGACCTCATGGAATTGATGATGTATAGTTTTAAAGATTATTTTGAACGGAAGCTCTGTACTGTTTCCTTTGTAAACCAGGAGGATTGATAGTTTCGGCATCACCTAGACCTGCATTCGAGTCTCAGTGATCAACTTGCTGTGTGACTCTGAATAAATTTAACTTTTTAAAAAAGATTTTACTTATTTATTTTTAGAAAGAGGGGAAAGGGGGAGAAAGAGAGGGAGAGAGGAACATCAACGTGTGGTTGCCTCTCGTGTGCCCCCTATTGGGAACCTGGCCTGCAACCGAGGCATGTGCCCCGACTGGGCATTGAACCGGCAGCACTTTGGTTCACAGGCCAGCACTCAACTCCCTGAGCCACACCAGCTAGGGTTTATTTAACATTTTTAATCTCAACTCCCTTATTGTGTAAAATGAACATGGTAAGACTCCTACAGGGTTTTTCTGAAAATTAAAAACGTGAATGTGGAGGTACTAATACAGACTCTGGCACATGTTAAGCTCTCAGAAGAGTTACTTTGTTCCTAATCAGGCGTTTTTCCCATGATAACGTGGGGCTCCCAGATGCAGTGCCGTATCCTGATGCGCTGGTTGTGTTAGGGAACACGGATGCTATATTCCTAACTTAATTACATTAATTAAAACTAGATACTCATGGGATCTTTTCTCCACTTTTAAATTGGACAAAAAAAACCCCAACAAAATAGTAATGTTTCAAACTGGACGAGGTCAAACTACTTGGAGGGGAAGTGGCTTACTTCCAGAAAGCCAGCTTATGTTCCAGTGGAACCCAAGTGTAATGTTAACACTTATTATTAATTAACTTATTGTGGAAGCATGCATTTATTGATTCATTATCCACTTATCAGGTGTCTACTGGGAGGTAACACATTCCGTGTTACTTAGATTCACTGAATCCTTCTTGTCCAGAATACTGTAATCCAGCATATTTTTAAATCAGTGCTCCTCCAAAAATCTTGGAGTATCCACGGTAACTTCACATGATCAGGATCTCCAGTTTCCTAAATTTCAGCCCACTGTTCCTACATCTGTTACTTCAGTTTCCGACGCTGAGTATGACGTGCGTGGCACCTGGTGCCAGTGAGAGACAGCACGACGCTGACTCGTCAGTCCGTCAGTTGATTTTGAGCTCTAGCGTATTTGAAGAACTAGAGATGCTGAATCTGTGGTGTGTGTCGCCCCAAAGTTCTGGCACTACTTCAAATTAATTTCTAAACTTTTGTTGTGACTACTGCTTGATTTTTTGAAGAATCAATTTTTCATTTGCAGAAATATATACAACTTAATAGTCCCTACAGGTAAATATGCAGAAATTTTACAGTGGCTTTGTACTTAATTTATAGGTATAACTTAAACCCTTATTGAGATAATATGTTTTATCCAGATAATTATGATTCGATTTTTAAAAGACTTAATAAATGCCACCACAGTTAGGAACACAAGGGTGTGTTGCTATCTGAGGAAGTAGACATAAAAAATAATTCACTTCACTGTGTTTAGAATTTCTGATACACCCATACGTACATTTTCACAACTTGGTGAAAGTCGCGTTTTCAACACACACCTATTCTATAAGAGTGTAGTGTGGAATTAAAGATTACATGGAGTTGGAAGGAGACTTTAAACTGTGACATTTAATTACCCAGTGGGAAGATTTGTCTTCATAGTAGTGCTGCTTATCAGCTATTAAAGTGTCTTTGACTGTGAGTATTGCTTTATATTAAAGCAAGACTTTCCAGTTTTATTTTCTAATATTTATATTATACATTATTAATAGTGTGTGTTTCCGGATGTTAGAAGCAATTCACATTTCTATTTAGTTTTAGGATATAATTAAAAGAAAAAAATTTCTAATCCATCTTTCATGAAATAAATGAGATAGTTTTAATTAGGAATGTAAATTATTTAAAGGGAATAGACCTTATAAAAAGAGCTTAATGTAGTATCTACTGTCAAATATTTAGAGGATAGAAAAATGAACATTTTAACTGCTTATTAATATTATTGAATATCAATTTAGATAGGGAATTGTATCAGAGTTTACTTCTATTCCATGTTAGCATGTATTTATTAGCCAACCCAGCCATCCAGCTTTACATAAAACAGCCTGACAACTTGATAAGAACAAGCCCCCGGGGGCGGGAAAGGCTCCGCCCCTGGGCCCACTCGCCTCTGGTCGGAGTCCAGGTCTGGGCTGAGCCGCCCCTCCCACGCAGGCGTCGCGTGTGTCCTGTTTCTAACGCGCTTCCAATGTCCCGTTGCTTTCCAGCTTGTGTTAACCGTCGGCTTGTTAGCTGTTGTTGTGTACCTGTACACCGTTGTGGCATTCAATTTTTTCCGAAAATTCTACAATAAAAGTGAAGATGGTGATACACCAGACATGAAATGTGACGATATGCTCACGGTAAGTTCGTACTGTGTGGTCTCGTAGGATAAAAAAGTGCACCAGGTCCTCAGTCTGAGTAGTCTGTGTAGTTCTTCTTTAACAGTCAGGGTCGAAAGTAAATACACAATTTTTACTTTTCACGAAACGTGAAGGACAGTTTCTGCCGGTTTTGCACATCCGCCTGTGCAGCCAGGTGGCGGTGGATTCCTGAGCGCAGTGTGATGGCGGCGGCCGGGGTGGGGGAGGGTCTATGTGACCCTTGTGCTCGTATGTTCCAGGGCAGCAGGTGAGGTTATTTCCCAAGAGAACATTTTGATGCTTTAGTTACTTGTTCATCTTACCAACTTTAACTGACATTAGTGAAGTCCAAAAATATGTATTTTAATAGAACTATTAGTTTTTGCTTTTACATTCAGTATCATGGCTTAAGTTACCTTCCCAGCCTCGGTCTGAAAATCAGCAGATGTTAAAGTTTTCATGTTGCTTTATCACTGTTGTCTAATCTGCCGCTCTGATGTTCGCAAGTCAGAACGGACCGCAGGTGAGATCTGAGATTGGGAGGCAAATTCGGCTGAGTCCACGCTTCCAGGTGGGAGCGGAGATGCCTTCGCTGAGCTCCCAGGCGAGAAGCCTGCGTAATCGGGGTTGGTGCTGCTAGTGCCGAGACTGACTTAATGATGCTAAAGTTCCTCTACAACAAACAAACAAACAAACAAAAAAATCCCAAAAGGGCAATGAGAGAACTAACATTATAAAGACTAGTCGTTAACACAGTTTTTGTACCAGAGAATCACAGATCAATGGAACAAAACAGAGTCTAGAAATAGATTCAGATACACAAGGAAATTAGAGAGATGATGGTGAAATGAAAAATAACCCAATCATATTGGTACCATAGACACACCACTTGGGGGAAATTGGTAAAAATGGATCAACTTAGCTCTTTAAATCAAAATAAATTCTGAAACACTAGAATGCAAAGAAAAAAAGGAAACAATAAAAGAACATAATTTGACCTTTGAGATAATTACAATAATAGTAATTTTTAAATGGGGAAAGGCCTTTTGGAGCATGACATAAAACCTTAGGACTCATGAAAGTATCAGAAATTACTTTCAAAAGGAACAACTGTAAGCAACATCTCAGACAAATGGCAAACTATGAAGAATATAGGCAACACTGGAGCAGAGGGCTGGTGTCCTCAATTTACAGAGCTCCTGTCCCATCAGTGAGAAATGAATGAGCCATTTGAAAAAGGAAGAAAATCTATGACTAGACAACTTACAGTACGTAAATTCAGTCAGCTTATTACTATGCAAAGGTGCTCAGCCTTCGCAGCAATTAAAGAAATGAAAATCCAAACAGTCGCCACTTTCACCTGTCAAGTTTGTAAATATTCAAGTTTGTTAATACTCAGGGTTGTTGAATTGATGGAAGAACCTAGCCCTTTCATGAATATTTGTTGGGAATTTAAATGAACATTTTTAAGAGAAACCTTGCATCATCTATCAAATTTTTAGGTGGACTTAACCTGTTCACCTGTCAGCTCCACTGCTCATAATTGACCTAAATGTTTATTCACAAATACACCTCTGTGTTCACGGATGGGAGTGGCTGTCACACATTATAATAGATTCCTGGTTGACTCAGTCATTTCACGTCCCTAGAATGGAAGAGCATGTGGCTATTTTAAAGTAAGACAAACATGCACATTATATTTGAGTGGGGAGAAAAGAAGCCAGGCCGGGAACAGTGTGGCGTAGCACCCTACCTGTGTGAGGTCATGGACACACACGGGCTGCATGCTGTGTGTATAGTGGATATGCTGAAATTGCATACAGTGTTTCTGGAAGGAAACATAAGAAACTGTTAACAAGGGTCCCTACGGGGGTGAGACCCTGGAGCTGGGAGAGCGACGGCTTGTCTCCCTAGTGGGGACCTCTTCCGGAGCCCCTGCTCACTCACCACCCCTCCCTGCGTCTTCCCCAACCTGCCCGCCCCGTCCAGGCCCTGGCGGTGTGTTGGGGGGGTGCGGCACGGTGACCGGCCCTTCATCTCCCTTTCATGACCTGCCTTTACTGCGCCCTGTTGGTCTACCGTGACCCGAAGGTGCGGGGCAGCGGGGACAGTCGGCGCAGCAAACGAGGCTGTCGCGCAGTCGCGCCTGCAGCGCCCCCCGCCCTCGCCCCCACGCAACTGCAGGAGAACCTAATGGCTCTAACTTCACCGGCTACGAGCCTCGATCAGAAAGTCGTGCCGAGGTCACTGGACTGGGTGGTGCTTGGTGACTTGCTCGAGGCAGGCAGGATGTCAAGGTGACTTCCACTGGGGGCCGGTGGCGGGGGCGGGGGGGGGGCGGTCGCCACGGTCTGTGGCCTTCGGCCCCACCCACCACGGGGCAACGCCTGTGGGACCCAGGTCCCTTCCCGACGTCGGCAGTCGTATCTGACTCTGTTGTCCGTGTGTTGTCCTCGGTTTCCACTGATTTCGTCGTGGGGAGAACGCACGTGTTAGGGAGCCAGAGGTGGGCCGGGAAGACGGCCGCCTGCCCTGGCCGGCTGGGCCAGGGCCCTGCGGCATGAGGGCGGGGAGAGGACGGCTCCCGGGGCCCCGGCAGAGGGCAGGGGAGCGTGGGCCCAGCGTTTATGCTGTCGGAGGGTGGCTGTCTTTGGGGGCGAGCTGCTGCTCCCCAGCTCTGTGTGGGCGTTGACACCGCCACAAGTCACGACAGACGCTGTGGAGGCATCGTCAGTGTGCAGCTTAGATGTCCCTCTAAAGCAAGAAAACTCGGGCGCGAGGCGTTAGCCGCAGTGCAGCTGCTGGCTCTTTGCAGCTGTGCACTGGGAGGTCACCGCTCTGCACGCAGCCGACTGTCCTCAGAGCGAGGCGTCCGAGGCCGCAGGGCCTGGGTTCACCCTGGCAGGGGCAGGTCCAACCACCCCGTTTTTGTTGGGTGGTTTTTTTCAATTACAGTTTATCTTCGGTATTACTTTGTATTACTTTCCGGCGTTGCGCGTAGTGGTTAGATAGGTAGGTGATCGTGTACTTCACAGTGTTTCCCCAGTATTCTCAGTACCCACGCGGCCCACAGCCACTCACAACATTACTGACTGCATCCCCTGCGGCCTACGGTACATCCCCATGACTGTTCTGTAACTGTCTGTTTTACTTCTTAACCCCTTCACCTTTTTCACACAGTCCCGCGGCCCCCTCGCCTCTGCCCTTGGCAACCCTCACTCTGTTCTCTGTATCTACAGCTCTGTTTCTGTTTTAGTTCTTTTAATTTGCTCTTTAGATTCCATATGTAAGTGAAATTATACGACATTTGTCTTCCTCTGTCTTATTTCATTCACCATAATTCTCTCTGGGCCCATCCATGATGATATTTCAGTGTGTGTGTGTATAGTATATATACATATATTACATACATACCCACTACCTGTTTTTTACTTGTCTAATGCTGGGCATTTGCGTTGCTTCCATATCTTGGCTGTTGCAAATAATGCAGTGAACTAAGGGTGCATGTGTTCTTTCTGATTGCTGTTCCGGGTTTCTTCAGATACTACCCAAAAGTGGAATTGCTGGCTCGTAAGACAGTTCCATTTTTTGAGGAAACTCCACACTATTTTCCACAGCGACTGCACAGTTCGCATTCCCACCAAAGGTGCACCAGGTTTCCCTTTTCTCCACATCCTCGCCAGCACTTGTTGTTCGTTGATTTATTGATGATGGCTATTCTGACAGGTGTGAGGTTTTAATTTGCATCTCTGATGATTAGTGATGTTGAGCATCTTTTCATATGTCTGTTAGCGATCTATATGTCCTCTTTGGAGGTCCTTTGCCCATTTTTTAATTGGATTGTTTGTTATTTTGGTGTTGAGTTGTATAAGTTCTTTGTATATTTTGGATACTAAACCCTTATCACTGGATGTATCACTGGTGAACATCTCCTGTTCAGTAGATTGTCTTTTCGTTGCTGATGGTTTCCTTTGCAGTGCAAAACTTTTTAGTTTGCTGTAGTCCCAAAATACATTTATTTTTTTCCTGTTTGTTTATTTTTTCTTATTTTTCCCTTTGCCCAAGGGAATGTATCAGAAAAAAAAAGTTACTAAGAGTAATCTCAGAGAATTTATTGACTATGTTTTTTTCTATGAGTTTTATGGTTTCAAGTCTTACATTTAAGTATTTAATCCACTTTTAATTCTTGTATATGGTATAAGAAGGTGGTCTTGTTCCATTTTCTGCATGTATTTGTCCAATTTTCCCAATATCATTTATTGAGTAAGCTGTCTTTATCCAATTATATATTCTTGCCAACCATGCCATGTATTAGTCAACCATACAAGCTTGGCTTTATTCTTGGGCTCTCTATTCTGTTCCACTGATTTATGAGTCTGTTTTTATGTCAGTACCCGGCTGTTTTGATTTCAGTGGCCTTATAGGATAGTCTGACATCAGGTAGTGTGATACCTCCCACTTTGTTCTTCTTTCTCAAGGTTGTGGTGGCTGTTTGGTGTCTTTTGAGGTTCCATATAAATTTTTGGAACTTTTGTTTTAGTTCTATAAAAAACACAGTTGGTATTTTAGTAGAAATTGCATTGAATTTATAGCTTGCTTTGGGGGTTATGGACATTTTAACAATGTTACTTATTCTTATCCAAGAGAATTATATATGCTTCCATTTATTTGTATCTTCTCCAATTTCTTTCTTAAGTGTCTTATTTTTTGAGTACCGGTCTTTTATATTCTTAATTAAGTTATTTCCAAGGTATTTTATTTTATTTTTAGATGCAATTATAAATGAGGTTGTTTTCTTAGTTTCCCTTTCTGATAGTTCATTATTGGTGTGGAAAAATGCAGCTAATTTCTAAATATTTGTTTAGTATCCTGCTACTTTACTGAATTCATTTATTAGTTCTGGTATTTTTTAGAGTAATCTTTGGGGTTCTCTGTATAAAGTATCATGTCATCTGCAAATAATGGAAGTTTCACTTCTTCCTTTTCAATCCAGATGCCTT